TTAATGCAGGAATATATAAATTGCATGAACTGCGTTTGTTTAATTTGAAAATAGCTTCTATATTGAGAATGAGGAGTTGACGTCACGGCACCGAGTCCCTCCCCATCCCCTTTTGCCGACATATTGCTTGCGACCGGTTGGCGGCAGTACAGTTGTTTAGGTGTGTGAACGCGGTAGTAGCGGAGGTTCTTGCTATTCCGCCCCCCCCCCCAGGTTTATCATGCTTGGAAATAAACTGCTTGCGTTAAACTGCTACAAGACATCCTCGTGGATATGGAAAACCTCAGTAACAACGGGATAAACCGTTTTTTAGGTACCGAAATGGAAAAAGATCAAGGGGAGAATTCTTTGACTGACAAGGAGGTCGGAAAGTTGTTGGTTGGCTGCCATTAGAAGAAAGGGACCTTACTTTCGTCAACACCCCTTGTCGACGGAGAGTTTTGGTCTCTGCATTTCACTCTGGTTACGTTCACTTAAAAATGTATTTATGTCTGTTGTCTCTTAAAGCTAGGAAGTGTGTTAGGTTTAGCTATGTTATTTTGGTTTCTGTAGTGCTTTGTCTCTGTTTGTCTTTGTTACCTTGGTGTTTTTACTTAGCACGTGTTCTGTGGCGAGTTCTTTGCCAGTGAAGCTTAGTTTACATAGATTGTACTCATAATCTAAATATTCTGTTGTACAATAAACCTTCCTAGACTTATGAAGGTGACCTAAAAAGTACTGAGGAATGTCTGTTCATGACATAGTTGACAGTATAAAGCATATTGATTACATAGATTGGGCAAATTTTTATATTAACTTATATGTTGTTAATATTCTCGTGTAGGTAAACCAGCATATGAGATGTTGGAGAAACACCCTGACTGGACAAATCCTGTTGTTAGGCCACAAATGATGTACAAAAAACAGATGAAGCGAGTATCAGCGGCAATAAGGCGAGTCCTGCCAACTGGAGCGGCAGCCACCTCCAGCCCACACCAGCCGCAGGCGCCGCGCCTCCAGCCTAGACAGGGCAGCGCCACCAGCCCTGGGACAGCTGCCAGCCGCCACCAGCCCAGAGACCGCCGCAGCGCGCCGCACAGCCCTAGCCCAGCGATGCGCCGCCGCACCAGCCCTAGACCAGCCGCAGGAGCCGCTCGCCGCCAGCCTAGACAAGCCGCCAGCTGACGGACATGGAATGTGGACTTGCACATCTAGACGAGATGTTTTATCAACAATCTTCTTGAAGAAAACAGGACAGCTGGAAGCGTGAGCTTGATACGTACAGGATGAATGAGAACTTTCTGAGTGGTGATGGATAAACAGTGAAGTATTACACGGGGCCCTTCCCAAAATTTGCATTGTTCAGAATTCTACTTACTTTAACTAGAACTGCCTCAAGTAGAATGAAGAACGTCTACCCATTTCCAGCTTGCTCCTATTGATTTAATGCGCCTCAGACTGTGATCCTCCAATTACAAGCACCTCAGCCATCTGTTTTAGAGTAATAGGACAACAAGAGGATGCTTTCACCATACCCTTGGTGTGTGATGTACGCACAGCTGTGTCATTGGTGCACTGGCAAGAAGGGAATGCTATATGACAGTATGCCACACTGTTTGAGGAGGTCATTTGGGAACAATGTGGTGCCATTGTGGACTTGCTTCAGGTGTCATCGAGAAACCTTCAATGTACTAGCCGGGACAGATTTATTCAATACAAACAATCTCCCATACCACTATGAAATACCTAATCGTTGATCAGCCCCAGGGTGTAATTTCCTTCATATCGAAAGGGTGGGGTGGTGGCAAAGCGACAAGCATTATAAGAGCAAAGTGGTTTCCTGAACCAGCTGTTACAGGTGACATTGTGCTGGCAGTAGAGGCTTTTATAAGGAGCAATGTGGGGATGATGTGTGTGAAGTGAAATACTACATTAAAGGGGTCGTGCTAGTTGAGGCGAAGATGTGGAGGTGACTAGGGCATAGCACATTCAGAATTCACGTGGATCGAGGTGTGATCGGTGTTGGGAGCGCACAAAATTTCAAATTCTTACACTCAACTGTACCTGTGGCACATGCTTGTCAAATGAGAGGGTGAAAACCTAAATGCTTTGGCTTAAGGATTGTCATAGTTTGCTAGTGCTTAACGAACATGTGCAAAGTGTTGTTTTGAGTACTTATTCTTTACAGTATTTTTATTTTTAAATAAATTCATGAAAACTTGGATATGGTTTACATATTTATTGAGAAATGAATATTTTTTTTGTACAAACGTGTGCATTCAAAGTACTGTTCAGCATGTAAACTTGCACAGCCTAGGCAAAAATGATCATAAGAGTCATATTTTCTTAGTTGCAAGGGGACACAAAACACTGCAAAAAGTGTGCATTCAAAAGTACTAGTTTCCAGCATGTAATATGCACAACCATAATAAATCAATTAATAACATAAATAATAATAAACAAATAATACTGTTATTAGTGAATATGTACAAACAAAACCACTGCAAATAGGCACACAGGCATAACAATATACTAATTTAAGGAAATAGGAAAACCTATTCTGCACAAACTAGGGCAAAAACCATGGGTTTGTCACCAGTGCAGGGAGTAGTAGGGGTCGATGTTTTTGATGTCCGCAAAGCTTTCCAATACCTCGTTTTTTTGCGCTTGGTATGAGCTCTTGTTCTGTACGGTCCTTTCTCTTTCGCACCCTTATCTCTACGATTGTTTTACTGTCTTCCTTTCCTTGTTGTTCAGCTAGATCCGTCTTGTCTCGCCCGGACAACGTTAAACATGTTATAATTTTAAAGTTGCTCTGGATATGGGAGGCGTCCGTGAAAATTTTCTGGAGGGCGTGCCCCGTTGCGCAGCCAATTGTCCGACCGGCGCAGAGCCCCCCCAATCACCCCCCAAATCGGCACTGGACTCTCTTTCTCAATATAGAAAGATATTTTCAATTAACAACTGCAGTTCATGCAATTTTATATTTTCCTGCATTAACAATGTTTTTCTCATTTCTTATTTTTTTGCAATTTTGAGTGTTTTATCATGCCAAAGGTGACATGTAAATGTCTTGTGTGAGATTAATAACGTTATCTTCTTATATGAGTCAGTAGATAAGGTTAAATTTTTTTAGCGATATTATTGCACAATAGCCAAAAACACCAAAAACACACAAAGAGTCGGCACTGAAAAACAGTATTTGCTTTTGCTTCCCGTAGCGCGCGCATGTGTGTGCGTGTGTGTTGCGCGTACGCTCGTGTGTGTGTCGTTACCAAGCCCTGCTCTGTCTATATCTATGTTTGTTTTATGCTGCGGGAATAATGCTGTAATTATATGAACATCAGAGGATGTCCGTGAGAAAATAGCTTGGCGGACGCTAAAATATAGCAATGTAATTATACTTAGTGTATGCAAAATAAATAAGAAATTGATGTCAAAGATTAGGGTGGGAAAGGAATGGATGTTGGAACGTATTTCTTAGGCGTATTCAACATCAGGGTTTGCTCAATAGGATAATCCCCTTTCTATTTTATTTTTCCCTATTTTTTAGAAAACATGTAGAAAAGGTTCACCTCAAAAAGAGATAACTTTATTTTAATTGGGGTAATGTGGTCTTAAATGATTATTTTTACAATTAAGCCTATAATCTGCAAAAAAAGTCTTGACCTTATCTTTTACCGTTTTTAGGCAATCTGTCATAGAATGTGGATAACTGCAATAAATACAAAAAGACATCCGGGATCGAACCGGTTTAATTGTAAGCACAAAGTTTAGACCAGGGGTGCTCATATGTCGATCGCGATCTTCCAGTCGATCGCAAGGTAGTATTGGTAGATCGCAATAAATAAATAAAAAATTACACATTCTAATTGTTGAAAACTCCGTTAATGCGATTTGTAGTGTAGACAGAGATAATCGAGTTTTGCGTTCTCGCACGCCACTGTACCCCCTAAAATCCTCTGATCATTGAAGCATGGATCATACTCCTTCAAAATGTTCACTGTAGATGCTCGGCAGCAGCGAACATCCTCCAATCAGAGAGCAGCAAACGTGATCGCGGGGACTCACGCTGAAACAACTAAATCCAGGACTAAACAGGACCTAAACCAGACTAAAACAGGACTAAACCAGGACTAAACAAGGGCTGAGGACGGGGTCATATGCTTGTAAACATCGTCTGTATTGAGTGTCTTCTATGAATGTAAATGTGCCGGTTACCGGGTCTGCATCAGAACTCCGCCCACTTCTGTGTTTTGCCCCAAACGCGGACAGGACGTAAGACACGCACATGTTTGGAATGTTGATTGATAACGCAGATGTGGGATGCAAATAATTTTATAAACGGAGGGGGGTAATATTTGGATTTAATAAAAAACCAGGCTGGCACATCGGACATGCGCACCACCGTCATTGGACATTGTGTTTACTCAGTAATGTTTTACTGGACACTTAGGTGACTGCACATGCGCAAACAACGCGTCAGTGGCAGGAAAGCTAAACCACGACAAATTGCCAGGCGAGTAACCACCATTTTCGGACTATGCATCCTGGCCGATTCACTTCAGTGCAAGTATAAGAGAAAACTCGGGTAATGACAAAATATACATAGATAATTGTGGTTGTGTGGTGCTATATTGGCTCATGCGGTTTTGCATGTACATAAACATTATAATTGTAGGTATAAAGAATATTTTTTGAAATAAATCTATGTTTGCATTTTTGTAGTAGGTAGATATTGGCTTTGATTGATCCGTTTATAAGTAGCTCCGGGGATGCTGAAAAAGTGAGGCACCCTGGTTTAGACCAACTAGGCCACCGATTCACACGAATGAGCCTGTGAAGAACGGATTCAAAGTAGAAATTCTGCATCACACGTGGAACTTTTACAGCTGTCTCAATTGTTCAAAGCATCCCGATATCAATCCTCGTTTAGTCTTGTTATGAATTAATGATTGAGAGTCATAACCAGTCTTTTTTCGTTCTGGCGCCACATTGTGCTTTTTGCCTTGTATTCCGAAATGAAGAAACTTTTTGTAACTTATGATTCTAGAACCTCGGGACCTTCTCCCGCCATACAACTTCTAGCGCGCTTCAAGGCGTTCCTCCTGAAGTCCAGCAGCAAAACCAACGGCAACGTGTGAGCTAACGGAGCTAACAGGGGAGTGAGCTTGTTATTCAATTTACTTGGTATTAAAATGAATTGTTATTAAATTAGCTTGTTATTCAATTTACTTGGTATCAAAATGAATTGTTTTTAAATTAGCTTGTTATTAAATTTACTTGGTATTAAAATGAATTGTTATTAAATTAGCTTGTTATTCAATTTACTTGGTATCAAAATGAATTGTTTTTAAATTAGCTTGTTATTAAATTTACTTGGTATTAAAATGAATTGTTATTAAATTAGCTTGTTATTCAATTTACTTGGTATTAAAATGAATTGTTTTTAAATTAGCTTGTTATTAAATTTACTTGGTATTAAAATGAATTGTTATTAAATTAGCTTGTTATTAAATTTACTTGGTATTAAAATGAATTGTTATTAAATTAGCTTGTTATTAAATTTACTTGGTATTAAAATGAATTGTTTTTAAATTAGCTTGTTATTAAATTTACTTGGTATTAAAATGAATTGTTATTAAATTAGCTTGTTATTAAATTTACTTGGTATTAAAATGAATTGTTATTAAATTAGCTTGTTATTAAATTTACTTGGTATTAAAATGAATTGTTATTAAATTAGCTTGTTATTCAATTTACTTGGTATTAAAATGAATTGTTTTTAAATTAGCTTGTTATTAAATTTACTTGGTATTAAAATGAATTGTTATTAAATTAGCTTGTTATTAAATTTACTTGGTATTAAAATGAATTGTTATTAAATTAGCTTGTTATTAAATTTACTTGGTATTAAAATGAATTGTTTTTAAATTAGCTTGTTATTAAATTTACTTGGTATTAAAATGAATTGTTTTTAAATTAGCTTGTTATTAATTTACTTGGTATTAAAATGAATGTGTTTTTAAATTAGCTTGTTATTAAATTTACTTGGTATTAAAATGAATTGATTAAAATTAGTTGTTATTCAATTTACTTGTATCAAAATGAATTGTTTTTAAATTAGCTTGTTATTAAATTTACTTGGTATTAAAATGAATTGTTTTTAAATTAGCTTGTTATTAAATTTACTTGGTATTAAAATGAATTTTTATTAAATTAGCTTGTTATTAAATTAGCTTGTTATTAAATTAACTTGGTATTAAAATTAATTGTTATTAAATTACTTGTTATTAAATTACTTGTTATTAAATTTATTAAATTTACTTGTCTTTAGAACAGCTTGTTATTAAATTAGCTTTCTGTTAGCAGGGCTTCAGTTGTCTAGGCAAGGCAAGTTTAGTTGTAAAACTCAGATCTTACACAAGGCAACTCAAAGTGCTTTACAAAACAAGAAAATAAACATTAAATCACTCAAGGAATTACTATGAACTAAATAGTCATAATTCATTAAAACCAGGACTCGAGTCAGTCCCTGTGCTCCTCAGAGTCCCAGCAGGAGGCCAGTCCCTGTGCTTCTCAGAGTCCCAGCAGGAGTCCAGTCCCTGTGCTTCTCAGAGTCCCAGCAGGAGTCCAGTCCCTGTGCTTCTCAGAGTCCCAGCAGGAGTCCAGTCCCTGTGCTCCTCAGAGTCCCAGCAGGAGGCCAGTCCCTGTGTTTCTCAAAGTAGTAGTAGTAGTAATCTTTATTTATGTACCGCCTTTCACAGACCAGAGTCACAAAGCGGTTTACTATTGTGGGCAATGTCCTCCCACTCCACATAGAGATGGGAGCGGAGCCAGTACAAGAGGCGCTTGCCAGACCTAATGTATAGGTTTTTAGTGGTACTCCGGTTTCCCCCTACCACTCCGGACAGTCCCAGCAGGAGGCCAATTTCTGTCCTGCCCAGTCCCAGCAGGAGGCCAGTCCCTGTGCTCCTCAGAGTTCCAGTAGGAGGATGCTAAAGCAATTTTCATGCAAACATGTAATTCATAGTGCTTTACAGTTTGCTTAATCCCAAATGTACCTTAACCTCTTAACACCCGCCTCATTTTGGCTTGTGCACAAAAGTTGGGCAATTGGGCGTCTGATATTGTTGACACTTATATTATTGTAGATAAGAAAATAGGCTTTAAAATGACATACAGCTTTTGGGGTTTGGTGTTCAAAATGCATCTGTTATTGCCAGCAGAACATTTTAAAAATTAAAACGGAACGCTGGCGCGCCGGTGGGTGTTAAGAGGTGCAACAACTCAACAGATCCACCCCAAAGACCTTGAAACCAGTGAGAGAACCTTAACATCGATCCTGAAACACATGGGAAGCCAATGTAGTGATTTTAAAACCAGTGCAATGTAGTCCCGCTCTCTGGTCTTAGTCAGTTTTGTTATTGTTGTAAACCTCAAATGTTCTTTTTGAGAAGATGTGAGAGCAAGACATTACAGGAGTCTATAAGACTGGTGATAAAATCATGTAGCAGCGTCTCTGGGCCCGAGAGCTCCATACACTTTCCTCTTTACTTTGGTGTTAATGTGGTGCTTGTGCTGTAGCTATGACCACCTGACGCAAGTGCTGGTGAAGATCATTGAGGAGCGTCCGGCGGATGCGGTGGACGTGATTGAGGACATTAGCCACAACGTGAAGCGGGCGCTGTACGTGGACTCGCAGAGCACTCTGAGAGACCTGAGCGAGGAGACACCAGTGGAGACCATGGCCCAGCAACAACAAGACCTGTTCAAGCTACTACCAGAGGGCGACCAGGAGTATGAGCTGGTAACCATGACTACACTGATGAAGTCTCTCCGTCTCCAGATTCCTCACAGGTCACATCAGACTGTCACGGTGAAGAAGATGACAAGGTCTGGGATCGCGTCTTAAATTCCGACAGAAGACATGTTTTATTGTCAATGGTAGAGACAGCACGAACAACACACACAACAGAATGCAAGTGTATTATACAGAGCGGAGGCATGGAGTCCTCCAATCAGCAGCTTCCACGGTGCCATGTAGCTTGGCCTTCAGATAGACAAAACAAGGGAAAAGTACTGGCTTCTGCACATTGATAGAATGATGAGTTTAACTATAACAAAAGTTGCTTCAAAGTGTTATGAAATCTCAAAACAGGAACAAAGAGAGGACTTTAAACTATTCTAGTATAAGTACTTCAACGCCACCCCAAACATCTTAAAGATGGGATAGCTAACTTTTTTGTTTCACAATAACCCATTTATAATGACCCTGTTGCTCCTAGAGAAAGAGTCTTGTAAAAGTAAAATCAGACCACAACATGCCTGGGTGAAAGCCCTGTGAGTCACTATTTGAGGCTTTGGACTGAGAGCTGAGTCGGGGTGGTCCATTTTTTTCACTTCCTAGCAAAAACAAGTGATCGAATCAAACATTTTATGACATAGTTCCAGTTTTGTGACATAACTTTCACTTTTTGTCTGTGAAAAAAAAGCTAAATAGATCTGATGTCCACTGGCTGTTATGACCAATTGGGAATTGATTTCAATGTTCAAATGTGTATGATAACAATTAAAACATGTATGGTTCTTTACACAAAATGTATGAAAGTGATACAATTTACTAAAGAAAAAAGTTATAGATGATGTGGTCAAAATTGTGTTAAACTTTGCTTTCAATTAATATATATTTTATCATGATATTACAGACATATAATTAGTGAGTTAGAGAGAAGTACAATCTCTTCCTCCATACGCCAGTGCTTATTTCCTGTCTTCAAATTCAGATTAAGTTTATTTGCCATTTGCAGTAAAACCATGTTGGAAAACATGTGCGAAAGTCAAGTACATAAATAAAACAAGCAAAAAAGTACAAGAAACAAATGTCGTTGTGGAACCAATCCACAAAAACAGCTTCAATAGCTTGTGTGTGTGTCTGTGTGTGTGTGTGCATGTGTTTGTGTGTGTGTGTGTGTCTGTGTTTGTGTGTGTGTGCGTCTGTGTTTGTGTGTGTGTGCGTGTGTGTGTGTGTGTGTGTGTGTGTGTCTGTGTTTGTGTGTGTATGTGTTTTTGTGTGTGTGCGTCTGTGTTTGTGTGTGTGTGTCTGTGTTTGTGTGTGCATCTGTGTTTGTGTGTGTGTGTGTCTGTGTGTGTGTGTGTTGCAGGCAGAGCCCGCCCTTCCCAACCTGCCGGAGAGATCATCGGGACGGAGAGGAACTACCTAATCGCGGAGGCCGAGTACAGAGAAGGAGAAGAGGAGGAGGAGCAGAACGCGGAGGAGGCGCCTGGAGAGGAGCAGGAGAAACAGGACACAGAGGTGAACACGGCACTAAACTAAAAGTTGATGAGTTGGAATGACTTAAAGAACATGTGTTATGCATGTCTTGTTTTTGAGTATAATTAGGCCCGAGCCCCGAACGGGGTAAGGGCCTATTGCTTTCACAATGGTGAATGCAAATGGTGGCGGTTCACCACAACGTGACGGTTGCGTGCGTAAACTCAAACGCTTTAAAATTATGTATCACGTGCCATTGAAACCAATATTGTTATTGCTCGAGACTTAAAAAAAAAATTCCTTGGTTTGGTTTATTAGGCCCGAGCCCCGAACGGGGTAAGGGCCTATTGCTTTCACAATGGTGAATGCAAGGGGTGGCAGTGCGTGACGGACGCGTCAGCACCTGTCACTCACCACAACGTGACGGTTGCGTGCGTATACTCAAACGCTTTAAAAGGATGTGTCACATGCCATTGAAACCAACATTGTTTTTGCTGGACGAGACGTCAAAAAAAAATTCCTTGGTTTGGTTTGGTTTCTTTTTTCTCCTGATCTTTGAGCCTTAATTTGACCCCCTGAACCCTGCAGGAAAAGTTGTTACATTTTGCCCAAAAATCAGACCTGGCAAAAAATTTGATATTTGTTTATTTTTATGGGACTCAAAAAATGCCAGAACAGCGCCACCTACAACAACCAATTTAATACCCCTATGGGAGATTCGGAGGTCAAGTTTGTCGTAGAGCCATGAAATTTGGTACACATGTTCCTCAAGTCAAGACAAGATTTTTTTTTTTATTTATTATGGCCCCGCCCTCTGACAAACAGGAAGCCCATAAATTTCACTGCAAAATGGAAAAATGAACAACAATAGTTTTCATACATGTCGGTTGGAAACTACCAACATGTACCTTCAAAATTACTAAAGGGATTTTTGATCAGTGACACGTTGTTTGAGCAGCGGAGCGGCAAAATTTGACCTTTTTTGGCCGTTTTTGACACTATTAAATTTGCTCCCGTTTGTACAAATAAAGTCTGATTTGCACAAAACTTTAAAACGTTGTTTAACTCTAGGGTCTAGGTCATATGAAAGTGAAATGATTTAAATTCGCCCTTTAGCGCCACCTACACCAGCCCATTTAATACGCCTATGGGAGGGGTTCAAAGTCAAGTTTGTCGTAGAGCCATGCAATCCGGTACATATGTTCCTCAACTCAAGACATGAAATAAAAGTTATTATGGCCCCGCCCCCTGACAAACAGGAAGGCCATAAATTTCACTTCAAAATGGAAAAATGAAAAATGATCCTTTTCATACGTGCAGGTTGGAAAGCAACTCCTCCTCGGCCGTTTCACCGATTGGTCTCAAAATCACTCCACATCATCTCAACACATGTACCTTCAAAGTGACCTCAGGGAATTTTGATTTGTGAAAGGTTGTTTGAGTTTTTTTAGCAGTTTTTGACAATATTAAATTTGCCTCCGTTTGCAAATACAAAGTCTGATTTGCAGAAAACTTGAATGCGTTGTTCAACTCTAGGGTCTAGGTCAATTAAAAGTTAAATTAATGAACTTGGCTCATTAGCGCCCCCTACAGATGGTGTCAAAATGTATAGTATGGGAGGGGTTCGAGGTCAAGTATGTCGTAGAGCCATGAAATTTGGTACACATGTTCCTCAACTCAAGACATGAAATAAAAGTTATTATGGCCCCGTGCCTTGACAAACAGGAAGCCCATAAAATTCACTTCAAAATAGGAAAATAAAAATGTACCATTTTCATTCATGTCGGTTGGAAAGCGACTCCTCCTCGGCCGTTTCACCGATTGGCCTCAAAATCGCCCCATGTCTATGCCTACAGGAACAAATCATGAAGCGGCGGCACCACCTCCGATACCTGGGCTGTTGTGGAGCGGCACGTGCGTCGTGTCACGGGACGGCGTGGTGAGAGGCGGCGTGGTGAGAGGCGGCGCGAGGCGGTGTGTTGCGGGGCAATGTGTTGCGGGGAGTTGCGCGGGGCGGTGAGGGCCGTTCGACGCCGCTTGCGGCTTTAATTACATCTTATTTCTCAATTTGAAGCTAGTTATTGCAGGAAAACAACCAATTATTTGATTTACTCTGAACACTGAACCCAAAACTTTGTAGTCATTATTAAAGAATGAAGCTAACTAGCACATACGCATTAGCACCAAACCTATTTTTTTGAGGCCGTAAGATAAATAAAAATTAAATAAAAAACATTTTAATCCACAATTGGCCAGTCGACTTTGAAGAAATCAGAGAAAACCCATCTGTCACAGTCACCATCTATATATAATATTAGGATAAACATATAAAAAAAAAAAAAAAGGATAAACATATATGAAAAATGCTATACATTTAACCATCAATCAGTCTAACTTTGTCTGACCTGGCACGGATTTTATTTTGACTGGAGAAATTCCCCAAACAAATTGAGACGATTCTTTAGAGGAATGAAGGAATGTCTTTTAAGGTAAGGTGAGGTAAAATGTTGAGAAGAAACCAGTCCACAGCTGTTTTCATCTTTTTAGAAAACATTCTTTGTAAACTAAAGGGTGAGGGTGTCTGAAAAAGTAGATACAAACTAGTGATAGAATAGGAAGTTTTTGAGAGCAAGGAACTAAGATACGATGAGATAAGAGATCCTTTATTTGTCCCACAGTGGGGAAATTTCAAACCTTTAGTTTGTATTTTATTATAGCAGTGTAGCTTTAGAGTAAAGACTGATCTTGTCCTTCCAGATGGACTCCCTCCCAAAGTGGACTTACAAGCCCCCGCCGGTGGTTCCCACGGAGGCCGTAGGGACAGGGACCAACAGATACATGTACTTTGTGTGTAACGAGCCGGGCCTGCCCTGGACGAAGCTTCCCACGGTAACTCCGGCTCAGATCACAACCGCACGACTCATTCGCAAGTTTTTCACCGGGAGACTGGACGCTCCCATCGTCAGCTGCCCCCCTTTCCCCGGCAACGAGAGCAACTACCTGAGAGCCCAGATTGCCCGCATCTCCGCTGGGACTCAGGTGAGAGCAGAGTTTTAATTGATATATAGATCCAGGACTGAGGCTGACCCAGGACTAAGACTGTAAATCCAAGATTGAATAGGCTCCCAGGTGGGATGGGAGGACCAGCCCACGAGACTTTATCTTTTGACCATGATGAGTCTAGATGTGATTGGACCTCCTTCCTCTGTGCAGGTGAGTCCACAGGGGTTCTACCAGTTCAGAGAGGAGGAGGGGACGAAGGCAGAGGAAGAGGTGCCCCAGGACGGCTACGAGGTCCACCCAGAGTTTGAAGGCGTCGCAGCCGTGAAGCTGGCAGAGTCTCTGTCGGCCTGGGTCCATCACACACAGCACATTCTGAAGCAGGTCAGAAATATCCGCCATTTTCTTCATTTAGGCCCTTCAACATGTTTCAGATTAAAAGTACTTGCCATTTAAAAATAAATACAAACATGAAAAGTACACCAGAAACAACAGTGAAGCAATTGATGAAACACATTTACAATACACTGCAAGATCATCACAGATAAAAGGTATGGATGATTATAAACTTGACTAGAAATAGCATAATAATGACTGTATTTTCCAGACTATAAACCACACTGGTTTATAAGACGCAAAGTCACTGAAGCAGAAAGATAAGGAGCATCATCTACTGGTCTCTTTTCTCTTTCTTGTCTATACAAGGAACCAAAAAACTATTTATCATATGAAATATTTACACAAAGATATTATAAATGAGGACTTTAAAACTATATTTAATCTGCTTTATTGACAAATCTAACATTTAATTAGACATCTACTGATACTTGGCAAAAGGTTTCTGGCAACACAGGAGAGCTATCGCCTAGCAGATAGAAAGTCCTGGTTGGATCTCTCAGGGCTTTCTGAGTGCAGTTTGCTTGTTCTCCCCATGTTTCCATAGGTTCCTCTAAACTAAAACCATGTACAATGAGACAGATGAAAACTGGCCTTCAACTAATCCCAGTGTCGCTGCTCATGTATACACACTGTCCCATTGAACTAAATACACAGTGTGTAAGAGTGTCCTGTGCTGCAGGGTCGCTGCATGTGGGTGAATCTCACGCTCAAAAACACGGAGGAGGAGGAGGAGGGGGAGGAGAGAGAGGAAGCAGAGCCAGAGCTGGGGCCTCCGCTGCTCACACCACTGTCCCAGGACGAAGGTGAGGCTCTTTTCTCTGTGCAGTTCAGAGGGCTTCACAAAAATATGAATACAGCATTTATATAAATATAAAAAAATACAAACAAATAATCTCAATGCAAGTTCAGAAAGTGGCAACTAAAATGGCTGCTAACATTACATAGAAACAAGACGCATTAATTTAAGCCTCATTTTCAACTAGCCTTAGTTGTGTTTCCATTAGCCTACTCTTTAGTATCTGGTACCGTATCATAGCAACCTACCCACAGCAAACCAGTACCGGGGAAATTCCCTCCTGACCTGGGCTTCCCCCGTTTCCACCATCCCTCCTTGGTTCTACTCTACTCTACATCGTTTAACTGGTACCAGGTACTTTTTAGTTCCTGCTTGGCCCTGTTACTTAAGTGAGTGACCAGATTGCTGCTAGAGACTGGTTTGTTGTGAGTAGGTTGCTGGGATTTGTTCATGTCCATTAATTCATTATGTAAATTATGAACATTAATTAAATCTATACTCTTTGCAAGTGATGACCTGGAACAATTAAAACATTAAAAACTTGGTGTAATAAAAATAATTTGTTGCAACATTTTAAAAAGACCAAAATTACTAGACAGAACTAGATCCTAAAGTGTAATGGAAACGCAGGTAGAATAGAGCTGAGCAGAGTAGGGCTGATGGATCCTCCTCTTGATACGTGTACATATAGCTGTGTTAAACCGGTTTATTCCAGTACCGTTATGATTGTGTTGTAGAGGGGTTCCAGACGCTGCCCTGGACCCTGAGGATGTCGTCCCGTCTGACCCCAGAACCCGCTCTGGCTTTTGTTCGGTCCAACTTGTGGCCTGGAGCCTACGCCACGGGAAAGTAAGACACGCCCACTATTTACACACAACTCAGCGGACTTATTGACATCTATCCCGGAACAAATGCCCTTATAAGGAATTTGGCCCCAGTTCTGTTCAAATTCAGCATAGTTCACTCTTGGATTTTGTACAGTCTCCAGCAAAGTGCCTCACAATACTGTGTCTTACAAAAGTACACATATAACTTTAACTTTTTTTTACAGCCACATTTTGGATTATATATTTAGTTTGAAATTCACAACAAAGTAAACAGCAGTGAAGTTGTATTAATACTTTAAAAGCCACTGTATTTAATAGAAAATCTTGGACAAATCGTGGAAATTCTGTCTCAGCCCGTTCCACAAACCACATTCTTAACCCTCTTTAAAGTGACCCAGTGTTTCTGATGCAGGAAGTTTGAGAACGTGTACGTGGGCTGGGGGCTGAAGTACACGGCGCAGAGCTGCAGTCCCCCGGTGCCGCCGCGGCCTCAGAGAGAGTACCTCACCGGACCGGACGTCATGGAGGTACCAGACCCCACGGTGGAGGAGGAGCAGGAGGAGCGAAGCTTTTTCAGAAAGAAGCTGAGCTTGGCCTGGAGGATATTCAAGAGAGACCGAGAGTGTAAGCGCTGGCTGTACACAGTTCTGATATTAACGCTGTATCTACTCGTGGTTCTGTTGATCTTTCTGATTTAAGACGTTTCCTAAAATGAACACTGCCACATTTGAGTTGTTACGTTTTATATGGTTTGTGTTATATTAAAGACATTGAGATTTATTTTGGTGTTTATTTCTGTTAAACATCCACATTGCCTTGAATGAGTCTGGTGTGTGTGTTAATGGTTAGTGGTGGTGAAAGGGGTCGATGGCACAGACTGGTTGCCTCGCTTCTGTCAGTGTGCCCCAGGGCAGCTGTGGCTACAGTAGTTGTTTATCACCACTGTGTATGGAGTGAATGGTTATGACATATGTGTGTCTTAAAGAGTCCAAAAGGAGTTTATAAAATCAATACATTATTATCACTATATCTATTCTACACCAGATCTAAAACAGGAGTCTGTGGTAAATTATATAAAAAATGGTCTTAAATCTGGGTTACTTCACATTCATAACAAAATAATGGAGCAATATTAAAAAAAATGTTTTTCCCATCCTGCAACACTAGGTTCCATATTTGCTCTATATCTTGATGCTTTGCTGCTTTTATTCGGATTCACAACAGTATTTACCAGTTGTGTAAAGTTATGAATATATTGGTTCTAAATTCATCAGATTGTTTTTTACTTAATTCCTGTAACACCAGGAGGAGCCCCCATTTGACAAAGATAGATGTATTAAATACGAGAATTGACTTTTGTGACTTTTGTGCATAATTTGTGCCTTCTACAAATTAAAAGATACAAAAACATGAAAATGAGTTGCAGTCACGTTTCTAACCAGTGGGGGGCAGTAAGCAGAAGCAGTCTCCACCTCTCTCACTGTTCTTCCGGGTTCAGCTCTGCACATGGTAAACAACAGTCCTCACGTGTGCAGTGAAGTACCTCCACTGCAGTACTCTCTGTAGTACCAATATACTCACGAGTACCCGGAGCCATGGAGGCCTCCACTCACTGGTCGGATTTACCCACGGCCCCCAGCCTGAAGAACCTCACGGACGGAGGCTTCGGGGTCCTGAAGGAGAACCAGCTCCCGGCGATCCAGGACCTGACCCGCGCCCACATCGAGAGCTTCAACCAGGCGATGACAGACGGACTGAGCCGCGTGGTTCAGGTCCGGACGGTTCTCTGGTTCTGCTGCAATCTGGGGGGATAGTTCTGTGGATTAAATAACGTGAAATGTTGTAATAATATGAGAAAAACTTTGTTCGTCCCACAATAGGGAATTGTTGGTGCTACTCATGGATGTATTATATGTGTTGTTATGGATTATGGCTTATGCATACAGGACAATAGTAAGAATCAGAATGTTTTTTTGTGGCCATGGTAATGAATATGCCATATGTCAAAAGGCCATAGAAAGTCACAAAGTAGAAATGTGTTTTGGTGCAAACAAGTAAAAACAGAACTAGTAAAGATAAGCAAAGGCATCCATAAAACACCTTCTTAAAAATAACTATACACAGGTGCATTTAGCAGTGCACAAGAGCACAAGGAGCACACAACACAAACAGAAGTGGCTGTGAATGCTTCATCATAATAATATTTGGTGTAAGTTAGAAGGCAGAATACAAAGTCAAATTCATGGGACATTCTGAAATTGCAGTGTTGCACATGATCGTAGTATTTACTATAGTTGTCATTGTCACAGTGTGATAGCAGCAGGGAAGAAAGACTTGTGAAACCTCTCTTTTGCACTGCGAGGGTGGATCTGTCTGTCTCTGAAGCTACTCTCTGATGCTTTAACACTGGTGCTGCAAGATTATTTTGTGCCTTCGTGATGCTATTCAAACTGCAATCTATTTTATTATATTTAAATTCAGGATTGTGTTCCTTTTTCAGTCGCTGTTGACAAGTTTAGTTAGAATTATAACAGTCTGGTCCAATCACAAGTTTCCTCGAGCGTGTGTTTATGGTCTCTGTCACATCTTTGAATCAGCTTTTTTCAGACAAAGTGAAAAAGAGAGCTCCACCCTCACTCAGCTTTCAACCCAAAGAGTCAAATGGTGACTCACAGGGCTCTTTCTCACAAGTATGTAAAATAGAAGTGAGACAATTGCAGAGAAAAAAAGTTGGGTATCCACTCTGTTATTTATTATTCATTATCTTGAATAATATATGTTGTTTCTCTTGTGATATCGGCAACAATGGCAGTTAAAAGTCAACACTGAGGGATTATGCCAGAATTGTCGTATTGCTGAAGGACCATCTCACACTGCCTGTTCTGACCCAGTTCCCCTCTGTCCTCTGTCTTGTGTCTGCTCCAGGCGATCCCCCCCTTGGAGTTCACGTTCAAGAATGACCGCATCAGTCTGGCCTTTGCGGACGCCACCGTCTTTGCTCCCATGGTGACCAAAGGAAACGTGTGCAGAGAGATGAGAGTGTTTCCAGCCGAGTGCAGAGGCCGCCGCTGCACCTACAGAGGGAAACTGGTGGTGAGAGTCTGCTTTGTTATATCAGAATTAAAGTAAAAATAAAATGGTTTGAAAGTCATAATATTGTTTCTCCATTTTGCCCTGTTGTTTCTCCATTTTTACACTACATAATGTTATATCTCCATTGTTTAAGACTCTTCTCTTTTGCTTTGTCCAACAAGTGTGTCTCTCCATGGAACACGGTCCTCTACCATACGCTAACTGTATGTTGATTGTAAAGATTGTGGCTGTGTTTGGGTTCCAGGCCGACGTGTCCTGGTCCATTAACGGCGTTCCCAGAGGGATCATCAAACAGTCTCTGGGTCTGATCCCGATTATGGTGAAGTCTCAGATGTGTAACCTCCACGGCCTGACGCCCAAACAGCTGGTGGAGCACCACGAGGAGGCAGAGGTGAGACAAGTGTCCATAAAGCTTGAATAACAGAAGGAAGTGTGTGTGTGTGTGTGTGTGTGTGTGTGTAGGGGTAAATCTCTCAAATGTTAAAAGTATAACCCTGGTACAGCCTTGGGTTCTTTCTGACTTTTGCCCAGTTATAGCCCTCTACTTCAATTCAGAGTCTGTCATGGAGCAATTTTGGTGTCTGCATTACATTTTTTACAGATAAAACAAACACAGAACGTACTATTTTGTGTTTTGCCAATCAAAACTATCGCTCTATCAAATTAGGTTAACAATATTTTTCAGGACTCATTCATTTTGATTGTAAGTAAGTAAGTAAGTTATCTTTTATTTATATACCGCCTTTTCACTGCAGATCTGAGTCTCAAAGCGGTTTACAATTGTTAATTTTGGGCATTTGTCTCTCACTCCACACAGAGATGGGAGGGGCCAGTACAGGAGGCGCATGCCAGAACTATTGGACATATTTTTAGTGGTAGGGGAAACCGGAGTACCCGGAGGAAACCTACGCAGACACGGGGAGAACATGCAAACTCCACTCAGAAAGGACCTGGTCCGACCGGGATTCGAACTCAGGACCTTCTTGCTGAGAGGCGAGAGTGCTATCCACTCAGCCACCGTGCTGCCTGTACCTTGTAAAAGGTGCATTTTGTCTTCAGCTTCATCTTGCATACTTACGCTGAGAGCTGATTGGCTGAGTGAAGGTGGTCCTCTCTTTTCACTTCTCTGTATGAAAAAGCTGATCTAAAGATTTGACAGAGGCCGAAGATGCAGTTATGTGAAAACTGGAAGAAACCTATTTTGAGAGCCAGGACCTCGTTTTTATTACACAGTTCTATTTTGTTTTGTTTTGAAAGTCAGCAATAGCCTTGTCTTAAACCCTTTGTCACAGTTTAAAACACTGAAGGCCTTGTTTTGGTTGTTAGTTAAAATACTTTTATACATAGACCTAGTAACTTACAAAGCCCTGTGTTCTCTCAGGAAATGGGAGGTTATTTCATTGTGAATGGCATCGAGAAGGTGATCCGGATGCTGATCATGCCGAGGAGAAACTACCCCATCGCTATGGTCCGACCCAAGTGGAAGAGCAGAGGCCAGGGCTACACGCAGTACGGTGAGTCCACGGCTGTCTCCATGTCCCTTTTGTGTGTGTGTGTGTGTGTGTGTGTGTGTGTGTAGGTGGAAGGGGAGGTGGAAATGGCAATGTTATCTTGTGCTCCTTCATAAGTACAGCCACCTGCACAATGGCTTTAGGAGAATCTATCTGTATTTGAGCATAAAAACTATTTTTTTAAAAACAGAAGGCATTAAAATCACACAGGCATCAGAACGAGTTTAGTTGTTGCACAGAGAAACAGAACTGTTTACCTGGATATGAGTATTGTTAGAGAAGAAGTCTGTCTCACATTTTCAGGAAAACTGTTCCAAATTTTAGCTGCATTTATCTGAAATGCTGCCTCCTCATGTTTAGTCCTAACTCGGGGCACCAGCAGGAGGCCAGTCCCTGTGCTCCTCAGAGTCCCAGCAGGAGGCCAGTCCCTGTGCTCCTCAGAGTCCCAGCAGGAGGCCAGTCCCTGTGCTCCTCAGAGTCCCAGCAGGAGGCCAGTCCCTGTGCTCCTCAGAGTCCCAGCAGGAGGCCAGTCCCTGTGCTCCTCAGAGTCCCAGCAGGAGGCCAGTCCCTGTGCTCCTCAGATTCCCAGCAGGAGGCCAGTCCCTGTGCTCCTCAGAGTCCCAGCAGGAGGCCAGTCCCTGTGCTCCTCAGAGTCCCAGCAGGAGGCCGGTCCATATGGCTCTAACATGTCACAGTTGTACTCTGAGACCATGGAGAGACCTGTAACAAATGGGCTGCTTTAAAGTCTCTGAGCCACAGGTGCAGAGACCTGAGGACTGGACTAATGTGATCAAGAAAGACTTGATTTTGACCTAAACATAATTGCAGGTATTTCTCTGCGCTGTGTGAGAGACGAGCACTCTGCCATCAACATGAACCTGCACTATCTGGAGAACGGCACCATCATGTTAAACTTCATCTACCAGAAAGAGCTCTTCTTCCTCCCCATCGGCTTCGCTCTCAAGGTATCAGTCAATCGAAATGTATTTGTATTGCACATTTCCAGGTACAAGGCACATCAAAATGCTTCACGAGAGCAAATAAAAATGCAGATATGTCTTTCTAACTGTTCGTCTTGTTCCCTCAGGCCCTGGTGAACTACTCCGACTTCCAGATTTTCCAGGAGTTGGCAAAAGGTCAAGAGGAGAACTCGTTTTACAAGAGCTGCGTGTCGGAGATGCTGCGGATAGTGTCGGAGGAGGGCTGCACCTCTCAGAGCAAAGTACTCGAGTATCTGGGAGAGCGTTTCAGAGTGAAGCTGCAGCTGCCGGACTGGTACACCCACCAGCAGTGTGCCCAGTACCTCCTGCAGTAAGTAACTGTTCGACTCTCCTCTTAAAGCTGCGGTGCTCAACATTCAAACCACCGGAACAAAGTCGTAACATGATTAAAATGTCAAAAAGACTTTTATGTAAAGTAAAAGTTGGACCATTCGACTCTTGATTGAGCAAATATAATAAGAGTAGAGTAGATGGCGTATGTTTGATTGTAAGACAGGTTCAAAGCAGGAAGGTCCGGTGTTCGATTCCACCTCTAGGTCTTTCTCTGTGGTGTTTGCATCTTTTCCCCGTGTCTGTGTAGGTTTCCTCCTGGTGCTCCGGTTTCCCCTTACCACTATATACATCAGGGGTGCTCACACTTTTTCAGCATGCGAGCTACTTATAAAATGATCAAGTCAAAATGATCGACCTACTACAAAAATGCAAATCATATATTTATTTCAAAAAATATTCTTTATATCTACAATGTATGTTTATGTACATGCAAAACCGCATGAGCCAATATAGCACAACACGACACAAATAACTATGTACATTTTTTTGTCATTACCCAATTTTACTCTGATGACTGATCAGCCAGGGTTTTACAGTCCGGAAAATTGGTGGTAAGTCGCTGACAAGTTTATCGTGGTTTAGCTTTCCTGCACTGAGCGCGGTTGTTTGCGCATGTGCAGTCACCTAAGTGTCAGTAAAACATTACTGAGTAAAACACAGATGTCATTGACTGTGGTGCCATGTCCAAGTGCCATGCCTGGTTTTTTAAAATCCGAAGATTTCCCCCCCTCCGTTTATAAAATAATTTGCATCCACACATCTGCGTTATCAATCACATTCGTAACATTCCAAACTCTTACGTCCTGTCTTGCGTTGGGGAAAAACACAGAAGTGGGCGGAGTTCTGATGCAGACGCCGGTAACGGCACTTTTACAGTCATAGAAGACACTCCGAGTAAAGAGTAAGACGTATGTTTACAAGCACTGACCCCCGTCCTCAGCCCTGGTCTAGCCCTGGTCTAGCCCTGGTTTAGCCCTGGTCTAGTCCTGGTCTAGTCCTGGTCTAGTCCTGGTCTAGTCCTGGTTTGGTTGTTTTCGAGCGTGAGTCCCTGCGATCACTTTCCTGCTCTCTGATGTGGAGGGTGTTCAGAGGAATTTAGGGGGGTACTGTGGCGTGCGAAAACGCAAAACTCCGGTTATCTCTGTCTACACGCAAATGCATTAACGGAGTTTTCAAAAATCTCCATTTTGCCCGGAGTTTTTTGTATATATTCGTTTATAATGTGTAATTTTTTATTTATTTAATGCAACCTACCAATACTACCTTTGCAATCGACTGGTAGATTGAGCACCCCTGATATACAGATATGATAGTCCCCCATAACACCCATGACCCCACTCCTGCACCCTCTCTCTGTGACTCCTTTCTGCTATCTCAGTATACAATACAATACAATACAATACATTTTCACTGGTGATAAAAGTGCATATTCACTTTTAAACCCTTCAAAATCTGCCTTCTTGATATATTTATGAGCCTTGTGACATGGTCGAGCACCTGCAGGTGAGAGCCAGATCCTGTCAGACCTGAAGCCAAGCAGGGAAAGGCGTGGTTAGTGCTGTGATGGGAGACCTGTGGTGTCCAAAAAAGTCCTGTATGAAACTGATTTATTACTTTTTTTTTTAAACTTTACTCAGACTACCTTCTTTCAGTTCTCCCTGTAAAACTGAAGGTAGTAGAAGCGCTTTCTCCTATCATGCTCCTTGTAAATAGTTATCTGCCCATTGACATCACACTTATTCCAACTCCTAGGTTATTCAGGAGACAAAATAAAAACTCACTGATTTGGACATTTTAGACACATCACGTTGTTTGTTTGTCGTTGCCGTTTGAGTTTGAGAGATGCATTCAATGTGCTATACAACTCCATGTCCTCCCTTCCTTCCCCAGCGAGTGCGTGTGCATCCACCTGAACTCGGACATAGAGAAGTTCCACATGCTCTGCCTCTCGACCCGGAAGCTCTTCACTTTCGCCAAGCAGGAATGTATGGAGGAGAACGCCGACAGCCTCATGAGTCAGGAGGTCATGACGCCCGGACAGCTCTACCTCATGTTCATGAAGGTGACACCGGTTCAAGTCCATTTATCTATATATCACAACAGCAGTCGTCTCGCAGGAATTTACAAAGTTGTTTGAATCCAAAAGGAACTGCAATAATAACAAACACATAGGAGTCATTGGTCCAGAGGGAGAGGATGATCAATGACCAGAATTAATACTGTTCAAAAGGATAAATAAATATCCATAAATGCGCAATATAAATAACGATTTCTTACTTATTTTCCTGGATCAGCACTGTCCTTAGACCAGAGGTGTCCAAACCGGTCCAGAAAGGCCCGCTGTGTCTGCAGGGTTTCTATCAGACCCAGCAGGAGCAGAGCAGACTCCACCCATTTCATCAAATCTTCAGGGTAAGACTGAACTCACTTGAGGAAATGGGCGGAGTCTGCTCTGCTCCTGCTGGGTCTGATAGAAACCCTGCAGCCACAGCGGGCCTTTCTGGACCAGTTTGGACACCTCTGCCTTAGACCCTGCATCACCAAGGCACAACCCAAAAACCCAACCAACCGGTGTTTATGTGCATTACCTTAGCTTGAACTGTTTTATTCTCTGATCTGTGGTTGGCGAGTCCTCCGAGACGACTTCTATGTACATTTAGGGCTACTCTGAATCGATTTGAATGGTTAAGTCCGATAACCAATGTTTCAAAGACACAGAATAATTAGCATAATCCAAAGTTTATAATGTTACTTCCCTGCTGGACTTGAGCAGCAGCTAAATACAAGGGTCAAAGCTCGTCTTATTGAATGAACGAAGCCTTTATCCCGGACTCAGGGTCCAACATAGACACAAAAAAGACGGAACAAACAGCTATACCAGTGCATCCACACTGAAATCTATAACACTTTGGTCTGGTTCAATGAAGGTTTTGCTTGCAGATGATTCCTTTTCTTGTGCACTAAATGTCTTTGAATTTGACACATGTGGAAGAATTTAATCTTGGAACACAGTTTTTATTATAATCTTCACGTACCTTTGTTCTGCAGGAGCGTCTGATCACGTGGATGGGGACGGTGAAAATGTCAATGGAGAAAAGAGGCAGCCGCTTAAACACAGCCCTGACCAACGAGAGCATGATGAAGATTCTCAACATGGGGACCGACGTCACCAAAGCCTTCGAGTATCTGCTCGCCACCGGAAACCTGGTCTCCAAGTCGGGTAAGGACCAAGCCGCAGTGAAGGGAGCGGCCATGTCCATAAGTGTGATGAGAGCAGTGGTCTTCGATGCAAACCGACAGGAGTGGCTTTGGCGAAGTGGTTAACGCTTGTACTTCACAGCAAGAAGGTCCTGGGTTTGAGTCCACCTCCAGACGAGGCCTTTGTGTGTGGAGTTTGCATTTCCTGTGTTTGAATGGTTTGAAAGGGCTTCACATGACTGAGATAACTACTGTTGTGATAGAAGTAGGGATGCACCGATCCGATACTGGTATTGATATCGGCGCCGATACCAGAAAAAATACTGGATCGGATATCTGCGTAGAGGGCTGCGCCATGCTGCCGATCCAATTTCTTATTTATTTTTTAATACATACCAGGTACCACACAATGTCTTAAAATACATTTTGCATAATGTACATATACGTATAAAATAAAGTAATTTATCAGATCTCACGCGTACACGTCACTTTTTCGTGGCACTTTGTAACAACAACACGCCCAAGCATGGAGCGGAGGAAAGAATCAATGTTGTTCATGCAGCGTTTTTTACTCTACCTTCGAGTCAGACAACCTCATGCGGCGGTAAACTAGCGAAATACAGCACGACTAAGCACCACGAGAAACAGCATGAGGAGTTTTTGCAGCGAAAGGAGGTGACGTGAAAACAACGAGACACAGATGACACTGACGCAGCGTCACAAAAAGCTTTTCAGCAACAACCTGAAAGTGTTGGAGTTCATCATGGGCTCGCAGCCCCATAGACCGTTTGGAACCCAGGTACATGCCGTCGCCAAATACATATCTGAAATCCAGTTAAAGCTACGGTACTATTATTTATTTACATTTTCATGCAGCGTGTTTTGTTTGTTGTGTTTTTTTATTCAAACACAGTTAATATAAGTACATTTATATTCAATAAATGTATAAGGTATAATACAGTGTTGGATGTTTAATGTGAACATTGCAGTTTTGCACATTTATGTTTAATCAATTTTTATCTGTAAAGTTTAGCGCTTTAGTTCATCCACTGCTTTTGCAGTTACTTGAACAAAGAGTTCAATTATTTAATACATTTTAGTGTGATCATTTCCGGTATCTGTAAATATCGGTATCGGCAGAAACCCATAGCTCTGGTATCGGCAGTAAAAAAGCTGGATCGGTGCATCTCTAGATTTAAGGCTCGACAAATAAGAATTCAATTGAATTGATGCCACATATTTTCTGAGAATATTATGTCAGATTCTAAAACATGAACTGACAAAGTAAATAGACTCGTTATCATTTTTAAGTGATGCGTGATATATATATAATATTTGACATATAATATTATAATATTTAATCGGCTTTTGAAAAAAAAAAAATCAAATTTGTGAAAAATGTGAAAATTGTTAAATCGAATGAGGGAGATTGTGAGAGTTCCAGGAGCACATCAATTATACTTGCGATATCAGCACAGTCTGTACAAGACTTTTATATTATGTATTGGGGGAAACAAATAAAAAATAGTTTTTAAACTTAAATATTGAGCGGGAAGATAAAAAATATTTTAAGGGCAAAGTCTGTCTTGAGTGACTTTAATGAAAATCGATTTAAAATCGACATCGTCCAAAGCAGGAAATAAAATGTTTTACTTTTTTGCCATATCGCCCAGCCCTAGTGTTGGGTAATCAACAGTCCTCAGATATATTCACTGTTGTGATTTAAGGCTATGCAAAAATACATTGAATTGAGTTAAAGAACCACGTCCTGCTTCTGTGCTCAGGCCTGGGGATGCTGCAGGGCACCGGTCTCTGCGTCGTCGCCGACAAACTGAACTTCATCCGGTACCTGTCGCACTTCCGCGTGGTGCACAGAGGAGCCGCCTTTGCCAAGATGCGGACGACCACGGTGCGAAAGCTGCTGCCTGAGTCCTGGGGCTTCCTGTGCCCCGTGCACACGCCTGACGGAGAGCCCTGCGGCCTCATGAACCACATGACGGCGAGCTGCTACATCGTGACCCAGAGCCACGCCACCATCGGCCTCAGCGCGCTGCTCTGCTCTCTGGGTAACAACAACATTCTGACATTACACTTGATGTCCACTAGGGGGACACGCAATATCTGCTCTAGATGTATTGTTAGATGGTCTGTTGAAACTTAAGGCAAGGCACTTTATGTTGATAGCACACGTCCTACACAATGCAACTCATAGTGCTGAACAAAATAAGAAAAACATTAAACTCATGCATGGCACCGTAACAACACAAAATGTTGTGTGAACACTTTTGAAAAGCCTTGGACGTTTAGTGCTTTGGGAACCTCAATATTGATCCTGAACCTATTAAAAGTACAACCAGGAATAAGTGAGAACATTTGGAATTGGAAAATCTGTAAAAATCTAATCATGATTTAGAACTTAAGACTCAAATTACTCCTTAATACAGAAAATGGTTTTGATGATTTAGAGCTGAAGTATTTACAGCTGGTTTAAAACAGGCGTTTGTTTTAATCAGTAATGCAGGAAATAGATAAAGTGGTCCAAGAGGCGTAAGGTAGAGGTCTAAGCCACAAACTCAACATTAGCTTATTTAAAACCCAATTATACTTTTTGCTCCTGAAGTATCATAAATACAATGAGGACAACGTGAGGTTTGTCTTGAATCTGGAGTTCTTAGACTAAAGTAGAAACCTGTGTGTGACCAGTGCATCCAGGTTGAAAGCGCGTCACTAAAGCACCTCTTGTTTCCAGGAATGACCCCTGTGGACGGATGCCCCACTCAGCCCTACTCCCAGTGTTACCCTGTGCTCCTGGACGGGGCGGTGGTCGGCTGGGTGGAGGCGGAACTGGCTCCAGTCGTGGCAGAAACGCTGAGGAGGTTCAAGGTGAAGGCTTTAAACACACACACTCTGGAACATTGTACAGGACGGTGGTTAAAAGGAGGAAGACCGTTCTTAGTATCTGGATTTGTTGTCTTTAGATGATAGCCATAAAATAAACAACTCAAATTGATCATTTCATGTATAAAAAGTTTGCTGATGATTGATGAATAGTTAAACCAGTGACCTTTAGGAGCATCTCTACACCTGTTTGCCAGACATACAAAGTTTCTACTGCTTCTCCCAACGCATCGGGAATAGTCAAAACTCCTATTCACTCCTAGCTCAGTAACTGCTTGTGTCACACTCACCATTTTAGGGTTAAGAATATGTGGTTGAGCTCTCTGTATGGCCCTGTGTTATTTACTCTGCTATGGCGGATGCAGCCGGTGAGAACCAATGTTTTTGTATTCAACTCCAATGTGAGCACCTCCTCCACTTTACAGACCACTTCTGAGATTTAAACGAGTGTGTCTGACAGCTGAACACTGGAATATAAGCCAAAGGTTTTCATGTTGTAATGTAGCAGAGAGACGAGTGTTTTTACTGGACACAACAGGATTTAATGACAAGGTTTTTTAAGCTTCAATGTGAGCTTCCATGACTCATTCACCTACATCTGATTTGACAATAAAAAGTGTTCTACAGCTGCTAAAACTTCATGGATTCAATAATAAGTCCATAAAGTCTGCTCTGACAACAGCTCAACTCTACCACAATACAAAAAATAAATTAGCTGCACCTCGTTATAAGCCGCAGGGATCAGAGACCTAGAAAATGTAGTATGTAAATAACATTAGTGATGTTGTTGTGGTTTGAAAGTTGGGTACCTCAGCTTTAAGTCGTTGTGTGTCTCGCAGGTGCTGCAGCAGAAGCGGATCCCGGCCTGGACTGAGATCGTGCTGGTGCCTCAGACGGGGAAGGCCAGTATCTACCCAGGACTGTTCCTCTTCACCACGCCCTGCAGGATGATGCGGCCGGTCAGGAACCTGGCCCTGGGGAAGGACGAGCTCATCGGCACCTTTGAACAGGTGAGACCCCACAACTAAACCTGGGTTAGATCGGCACAGTTCATACACAAGGCAACTCAAAGTGCTTAACAAAACCAGATAAATCGCACGAGGCATTATATGCTATAAAATCACAGTACATTAAAAGATGAGAAATGGACTAATGTGATGGTACTTCCTGGTTCTAGCCATGACTCAAGCTGCTGCGTTTTGAAGATACTGCAGCATTTGGACCAGTGAGCAGCCGTAAGCTAACCTGCAGGAGACAAATGCAGGATAAGATTTAGACAATATATTTGATTCCGGCAATGTTTTTCAGAAAGCTGCTGATGTTACTGATTGCATGTGGCTATTTATTATCCAAGTCTGGCACAGAGGCATCGATGTTCTGACCTGACGGCTCACTCTCTCTGCTTCAGCTGTTCATAAACGTGGGCGTCCTGGAGAGCGAGGTCGAGGCTGGGGTCACCTCTCATCAGGAGCTCTTCCCTCACTCCATGCTCAGCGTCGTGGCCAACTTCATCCCCTACTCCGACCACAACCAGAGCCCGCGCAACATGTACCAGTGTCAGATGGGTGAGTCCATGTACATACAGTATTTACAGGATTACAACAAGAAATGCATAAATGTGTCAAAGAGAAAAGAGTTTGGAAATGGGATCAATGAGGTCGGATTGCGTGGCAGTAGTCTGAGTGGTTTCCTGGATCTTCCCCGGCTTTGAAATTATGAACTTAAAACATTTCATAGAAAATAAAACATACAATAAACCGTGACGTACATATTTCCCATTCTAAAACTTAAAAGCTAGTGTAAGTAAATATTTAAGATGACTTGCTTTTCACCTGCAGGTAAACAGACGATGGGCTTCCCGCTGCACTCCTTCCTGGATCGCTCTGATAATAAACTGTACCGGCTGCAGACCCCCCAGAGCCCCCTGGTGCGGCCCTACATGTACGACCACTACAGCCTGGACAACTACCCCAGTGGAACCAACGCCATCGTGGCCGTCATCTCCTACACCGGCTACGACATGGAGGACGCCATGGTGAGACACAGGAGATGGGGCGGTAGAGAGGACTTAGGCTGGAAAGAGGACTTAGGCTGGAAAGAGGACTTAGGCTGGAGACAGGACTGAGGCTGGAGGCCGGGGAGAGGACTGAGGACGGAGGCCGGGGAGAGGACTGAGAACGGAGGCCGGGGAGAGGACTGAGGACGGAGGCCGGGGACAGGACTGAGGACGGAGGCCGGGGAGAGGACTGAGAACGGAGGCCGGGGACAGGACTGAGGACGGAGGCCGGGGAGAGGACTGAGGACGGAGGCCGGGGACAGGACTGAGGACGGAGGCCGGGGACAGGACTGAGGACGGAGGCCGGGGACAGGACTGAGGACGGAGACTGGACATTTGCAGTAAAACCACAGGCCTCTGATTGGTCAATCCTTATATTGCTCATATCTGGATTTACAAAACAATGAATTTTAGAAACTGGTGCAAGAAAATTCTCAGTCAAATGTATCCAGTAGTTACGTTCTGATTATTTTGCAGATCGTGAACAAGTCGTCGTGGGAACGGGGCTTTGCACACGGCTCCATCTACAAAACCGTGGTGGTGGATCTGTGCGACAAAGTGCGAAGAGAGGAGTCGCTGGTGTTCGGCCTCAAACCCGGAGACACCAAAGTCCAGGACAAACTGGACCAAGACGGCCTCCCCTTCATCGGCTCCACGCTGCAGTACGGAGACCCCTTCTACTCCTACATCAACCTCAACACCGGTGTGACCGCCACCAACTTTTACAAGTAAGAACCAGTCCTGTCGATAAATATCACACCGGTGTCAAACAGACCATTTTTAGATTTTCAGTCATTACCATTAACCTGCAACATTGATGCTAGCTTGATACGAGCTACTATGGCCTGTTATTCCTACTCATCTAAAATCTGAACCCAACATATTATCAAAAATATCTTTAACTCTGCCCAGCTTTGTTTCTGTCTAAATATTGCATTTGGTCACTTTTTTGTACAAACTGCAGCCCTTTAGCCAAAGGACCATTTCCCACACTCCCATATTCAGTCCTACCATTTGGATCTGCACTCTTCCCACTCACTCGGCATCAGTGGAATCTGGTTGTTACAAACCCCCCTCTTTTTGGAGTGTCTCATGGCGGCACGGTGGCTGAGCAAGAGGTTCAAGTTTGCATGTTCTCCCCGTGTCTGCGTAGGTTTCCTCCGGGTTCTCCGGTTTCCCCTACTACTAAAAACATGTACAATACGTCTGGCATGTGCCTCCTGTACTGGCCCCGCTCCCATCTCTGTGTGGAGTGAGAGACTAATGCCCACAATTGTAAAGCGCTTTGTGACTCTGGTCTGTGAAAGGCGGTATATAAATAAACATTATTATTATTTTTAAGAGCTAAGTACTTACTTACTTAGCTCCTAAATGATCTTTTAATGGTATTTAAACATTTTTTGAGTTTTACCTTTTAGCCCTCATATTATCCTGTTGGGTCGCTCTGACCAATGGCTCCTTCAGGTTGAGAACAGGGTAGTGTCTAAAAAGGTCCAAATGACCCAGAGTCTCTCTTTAAAATTCAGCTTAAAAAAATATAGTTTCTGGTATTTTTATTCTACTGTTTATCACTGTCGAGGACCTGAAAAGTCCAAACTGAACCATCTCTTGTACTTCTGCAGGTCGCAGGAGGCGTGTGTTGTGGACAACATCAAAGTCTGCAGTAACGACATGGGCACAGGTCGCTTCAACCGCGTCTGCATCACCACACGCATCCCACGAAACCCGACCATCGGAGACAAGTTCGCGAGTCGCCACGGTCAGAAGGGCATCCTGAGCCGGCTGTGGCCCACGGAGGACATGCCCTTCACCGAGAGCGGCATGACCCCCGACATCCTCTTCAACCCGCACGGCTTCCCCTCACGTATGACCATCGGGATGCTCATCGAGAGCATGGCGGGTAAGTCTGGCGCTCTGCACGGTCTGAGTCACGACGCCACGCCCTTCACTTTCTCTGAGGACTGCTCCGCTCTGGAATACTTCGGGGAGATGCTGAAAGCCGCGGGGTACAACTACTACGGGACTGAGCGCCTGTACAGCGGCATGAGCGGGCTGGAGATGGAGGCCGACATCTTCATCGGCGTCGTCTACTACCAGCGCCTGCGTCACATGGTTTCCGACAAGTTCCAGGTCCGGACGACGGGAGCAAGAGACCGCATCACCAACCAGCCCGTCGGAGGTCGCAACATCCAGGGAGGGATCCGCTTTGGGGAGATGGAGCGGGACGCGCTGCTGGCTCACGGCTCGTCCTTCCTGCTCCACGACCGACTCTTCAACTGCTCGGACCGCAGCGTGGCCCAGGTGTGCGTGGACTGCGGGAGCCTGCTGTCGCCGCTGCTGGAGAAGCCGCCGCCGCAGTGGTCACACATGAAGCAACGCAACACGGTTTGTTTACTGTGCGGCAAGAGCGAGAGCATCGACACCGTGTCCGTGCCCTACGTCTTCAGGTACTTCGTGGCCGAGCTGGCGGCGATGAACATCAAGGTGAAGCTCGAGGTGAAGTGAACCGTGTTAGCTACATCCAAACTTTATGAAACACACATTGGCATCAAAGCTGGGGGCCCTGACTTTGGTTCTGTCTTCTCCAGTGTTTGAACGCACCTTTGTCATGCTGCACCGGTTATATTTTAAAAGAAAAGAAACCTAATAAATAGAATGAAGTTGAATGGAATCCGCAGGTTTTCATGTTGTAAGGTCATAACCAAAATGGCACAAGAAGCTCTGAGGACGCTGAAATCCCTCTTACCAGATTTCTCTCTAGTCTCTCCCTCTGGTCTCTCTCTGAACTCTCTGCTCCTGGACCCACTAAAATTGTGATTTTTTTTTTTTTGTCCTTTAAGAGGCAAGCCCAACCCTATCCCCAATTACATTTACGGTCCCTGCCCCAAACTTTCATCCTTATTTAAAGAGTGCTTTAAGAGTCACAAAAAGTAAGTATTTCCTTCTGCCGGAGACGAAATGACTAAACTCCAGTACGACCCGGAACATGCTGCTTCCCTTCTTTGTCGCGAAGTTGTTGCATTATATCCATCTGTACTGATGCTAAACGTGCACAGCCTATAGTGGTCCAAGTTTCACTAAGGATGAGAATGTTTATTGTCAAAATAGATGGATTTACCAAAGTCAAGTGCAGCCTGTATGTGAAAAAGAGTATTTACTTCTCAAAGTAACCTGGTGCAGTTCATAGACATGTGAAGTTCACATGTCCAGCAAGTTACTGTTGTCGCACTGAAGTCTCCTGCTGGTGTGTCCTGATGCAAAAGTCTATCTCCAAAAAAATTATTCTTATATTGTATTAAAACTTTTAAAAAACACATGATTTATTTACTTTACACACAAAATCATGATGACAGGTTAAAACAGCAATTGTTTTAAATGTCTGTCAGGCGTTAAGATTGAGATTTAATAATACTGTACATATATTAGTGGCAGTCCATCTAAACTAAACGTGGGGTTTTTGAAAAGAAATGTCTAAATGAATATGAAGAAAAGTCTGTAATGTTTGAGCATGCATCTTTGGACTGGTCTCCCTCTATGCAAAATAAATGTCATTAAAATCGGTTCTAAATGTAAAAAAGGGGAAAGGAGACACTGATGCAAAACCTCTTCCCAAACTGTAAATCTATAAATAATGTCAAACGTCTCTTTGTCAATTTTATATTTTATTAAAACTGACATTTAAAAACCATGCTTTGGTCATTGCAAACACAGCACAATCCTTATGTTTAAATCAGGCATGTCCAAACTCCCTCTGTGTCATTCAGCCATCTCCAGCTCCATCAAAACTCATGCTGTACCTTAATGTAAAGCTCAGCACCTTTCGAATCCAGTCTGTAACTTTACTTGGTGATAGAAATAGTGTGATATGTCCATTTTTAAGTCCAGAAAAGCCAGAATCCAGTCAAAACTATTTTACAATCCTTGTTGTTGGCCCCTTGACAAGTCTGATGAACTACTTAATAAAATGTCTGGACACCCCTGGTTTAAATACATTTGAAGTTTTGTAATTATGGATGCAAAGGTCAATCAATTATAAGAAGTTGGCTGTATTTAATTTGAGAAAGATCATTTAAATCATTCGCTAAAAATATAGTTTATAAGAATGCATAATGGAAATGTTCAGATACATATGGAATGTCATAATGTTGTATTTTACTTCATACTGAATACTTTCCACCAGTCTCATTTTACCGACACAGGTTTGTTTCACCACGAGAAAGACGGGAACGTGTCAGAGGCGAGAGAGAGGCCAGAGAGAGACCAGAGAGAGGCCAGAGAGAGGCCAGAGAGAGGCCAGAGAGAGGCCAGAGAGAGACCAGAGAGGGGCCAGAGAGAGGCCAGAGAGAGGCCAGAGAGAGGCCAGAGAGAGGCCAGAGAGAGGCAAGAGAGAGGCCAGCGAGAGGCCAGAGAGAGGCCAGAGAGGGACCAGAGAGAGGCCAGAGAGAGGCCAGAGAGAGGCAAGAGAGAGGCCAGCGAGAGGCCAGAGAGAGGCCAGAGAGGGACCAGAGAGAGGCCAGAGAGGGGGGCCAGAGAGAGGGGGGCCAGAGAGAGGGGGGGCCAGAGAGAGAGACCAGAGACACACCAGACAGAATCGCAGTATAATGGAGTACAGTATGTTTTATCATCCACATGCAGCAATAGACATTTTCAAACATATTTTTCACAAAGACACCTTTTATAAAGGAAAGCGCAGTGCGTGCAACAGCTCAAACTCTGACAGTGAGCGCTTCACTCACCCAAACACGGCTCCACGGCTCGCTACGCTTTCATTATGCAACGTATTGTCCCTCTCAGAGACTACTGTGTAGTTTTATAACCTTCTTCCTCTGACCCATATGTAAGCAATGGGCGAGAAAACAGTTCAGTTTCATTGTGTATAATTTAACCGCTATATTTGGTCCTCGGCAAAAAGGCTTCAGTCGCAAGCCAGGTTAAATGCCGAGTCGTTTTGACACACCAGTCTGTGCCGCTCAGTGTGTAACCACCAGGATTTTTCGTTGAAAGGTCTGTGTTTTTTTTGGGGGGGCGATAGTAGCTCATAGGGGTGGGCGATATGGCCTAAAATTTATATTGCGGTATAATTTGGGACACAGACGGTAGACGGTATATATTGCGGTATAATTTGTTGTGTGAATTTCAATATAGGTCTAGCAGGTTCTTGCATAAAATAGTCAAGATTGTTAATTATTTATATATTAGAATCTAATATATATATTTTTTGAGTTAGAAAATCAGTTGTGAGACGAATAAAGAGACAAATAACATACATTATTTATGTATATTACAGTAAATACCATTCACTGTAAAAGCAATTTTTAAAAAGAAAAACATATGCATTCATTTAAAATATAAAAAACTCACGAATGTTGAAATCAAAGTCTGTAGGAGTTAGACATGGTCATTATTCATAGTGTCTGAGAGTTTCGTGCAGGTGCATGACTTCAGTAAAAGCTATTTTACAAAGCTGGTCTTGCCATTTGTTGACGCTCCCTAAGCGCTTTTCTCTGCGCTGGATGATTCAATGGATTTATGTTCATTAAAACAGCGCATTGGATTTGAACAATTGATGTAAATGATCATTTTGGCACAAATAATTTTGTTTAACAAAGTAGCTTTCGTGAGATATTGACCGCTGAGGTCCGAATCTGACGCTAACTTTCCCAAACTTCTGCTGTGATGCTGTGGACACGGCTCACGCATGGATCTTGGCTCATGCTGGCGCTTCGAGCCTACGCCCCTTTGACACTGATTGGCCAAAAGGTAGACGCTTAAACTGTGTGTGTATTTACCTCTGCTGGGGCCGCTGTGACAACAATACAGAGACAGAAACACTGTGTTAATGCCGTGCTGTTGTTCGTTGTTTCCAGTGGTGTCTGCTAGGCTAATGTGCTAGGCTAATGCTGCTGAATGCCGGTTTGTCCTTTCTGCTGGCGTCAGAGCCTGCGCAATTTAATGACATAATGACCTATCGCAATATGCCGGTATAACAAAAATCTCTACCGTGGGCCAAATTTATATCGCATACCGCTTATACCGTTTATATCGCCCAGCCCTAGTAGCTCAGTTGGTAGAGCATTGGCCTTAAGGCCAGAAGGTCGTGGGTTCAATTCCCACCTCTGCACCTTCTCCACCGACTCCCACTGATGACTGCTGTCGTTGTGTCCTTGGGCAAGACACTTAACCCCACTTTGCCCAAAAGCCCCCACTGAAAGATCAAGGCTATGCTCACACTCAGAGAGCAGCCGTCCTCCTGTGGACTCACCACCTGCAGAGGGTCAGTGAGGGGCTGGTGCTATGAGACTTGGGTGGCATCTCTGACTGCCACCCCCCTGACCCAGAAATGGATTAAAGGGAAGAAAATGGATGGATGGAGTTCTGTGTTTTTGTGCAGTGGGAATGAGGCAATAGATGCGTTTTTGTCAATTAATGTTCTCCGTTCTCTGAATCTCTGGAATAATTATCACGATTTTTAAGGCTTCTCGAAGTCTAGTTGAGCTCAGCCAGCACTCGCGGCAGCTCCAGCACGTCCGCCACGGTGTAGTGCGGCTTGATCTGCGTCTTGCTCGCCCATTCGTTGTCGTTTTTGACCCAAACCGTGGCTCGGACCTGTGCCTTCAGCCCGCCCTGTATGTCCGTGTCCAGGGAGTCCCCGACCATGATGCAGTCCCGGTTCTCCACCCCCAGCATCTCAAAACACAGCCTGAAGATGGAGGGAGAGGGCTTCTGCTCCTCCTGCTCCCCGCCCACCACCACCGCGTCAAAGAACTCCTCGCAGTTGGCCGCCTCCACCTTCTCGCGCTGGGTCTGCGTCTCTCCGTTGGTCAGCAGCAGCAGCTTGTAGCTCTTTCGCAGATCCTTGAGGAGGTTCTGGACTTCAGGAGACATGGTCAGGAGCTGCAGGCGGCTGGACTTCCACAGTTTGTAGCAGTCGGAGCCCAGAGACTCCAGGGGACAGTTGCCGACGGTCTCTTGGATGCTGGCGTCCCAGTGCGAGGTGCGCGTCTCGTCGATGGTCTTCCCCACCGCGGCCTTGAAGTCTTCCTTGTAGAGTTTTTGCTTGAAGCGGTTGCAGATGGTCTTGGTGGCCGGGTCGTCCACGTTCAGGCTGGATTTGAGAAGTTCACTGACCTGGTGAAAAGAAAAGATGATTTTTTTTCCTTCCCCTGATTTTGACCATGACTTTACTGAAAAAGTCTTGCAAAAGTATAATATTGTGAACTAATCAGACCTCACCATCCACAGGCTTTCTTTTTCTACTTAGAAAACATGTAATCTTGTTCATACTTGAAAAAAAGAGCCCTGTGAGTAACTTTTTGACACTTTGGGATGTGTGAGGGTGGTCCTGTCTTTTTCATTTTGTTCGGGTTATGACCAAAGCAACCAAAAGGGTCAAGAGTATTTAGGTGATCAGTGAAGAACCGTGATTGGGTTACTAACTTGTAAGAACTCTGCTTTAAGAAAAAATAAGTCTGGTGAATTGGCAATTTTCTAATAATAACAAAGAGAGTTCTGAATAACACTGCATCTGTTTTATATAATCCCTGTCCAGGTATTCCCGCGCCCTCAAAAGGTCAATAGAAGGATTGACCAAATATTAGGAGAGAAACGCCCTCTCCTCTTTTCCAACAACTCTCTGGTCTTATTTGACGAGCACGTATCACCAGAATGATTGACAATTAGGAGGACCAACCTTTTAACTTATGGTTTTCTTGTTTACTGAGCTATACCAATACTCCAGAAGCATCTCGCAAAAATCCATACAGTAATTTTACGGGAATAACATAGTAACGTATAAATAATAATGTAATAATAATGACTATGATCACATGGTTCAAAGCTCAGAGACCAGTCCACACCAGGAGTAATGGTCATCTTTCTTATTCATGGTATTTAGGTGTTATTATGTGAGTACCTTCTGCAGCGCTGTGACCCCCGCTCCACTCGTGTCGATCAGAGTGTTGTCCAGGTCGAAGATGATCGCTTTTACTCCTGATTTCTCCATTTTCACCGCTTCACTCTTCGGCCACTGCACGAGTCTGCAAACACGGAAGTGCAGACCCGGTGCGGTGCATTCTGGGACATGTAGTCGTGTGTGAAAAGGAGGCGATGCAAGATGACTGCAGCTAGAGGGCGCTCCTACACAGACGATCACACGCCAGCTCAGTGAAGCCCAGTAGGGAAGGGCTCGTGGACGAAGTTTAGCTCTAACCCAGTCTGGTTGGAGTCAAAATGGGGTTAATGACTTTTATTAATATTATCCATAAATGCTAACAAACATACAGACAATACACAAACATAAGATACAGACTTTATTGATCTCACACCGGAGACATTTACAACCATGCACAGGTCCAGGGCATGTATATAAAATATGAAAATGTGTCTTACATGCGCTCTGCTAAATATGAAGGAGGATATAGTGGGTGTCACTTCAATGCTGGGGTACGTAACTTTTAATCCACGTCACTCGGCCCTGGCTCCAAAACCTCTATCACTAGTTTCCACAAAAGATAAGAAAGACTTTGTTGATCTCACACAGGAGAAATGTACATGTCACATCTGGCTTAGATAGAATCACTCAAGATAGTGCAAAAGAAAGAACTGTGCAAACATGTTAAATGCAGGATATATTATGTACAATAAAAAGTGGCAACCAAGATGCATGTGTTTTTGGCCTTTCTCTCTCTCTCTGGTCTCTCTCTCTGGTCTCTCTCTCTCTCTCTCCCTCTCTCCCTCTGGTCTCTCTCCATTCTCCCTCTGGTCTCTCTCTCTCTCTCTGGTCTCTCTCTCTCTCTGGTCTCTCTCTGGTCTCAGTTTGCTTCTGTAACTTCTTTCCACAAACATGCATTTATCAGCTTTTTGTGAAAAATGAAAAAGACCAGGCCACCCTCATTCAGCCAATCAGCTCTCAGCCCAAAGAGTCAAATAGTGACTCTTAGGGATCTTTCTTACAAACACTCAAAAATGTTTTAACTATACCGTAACTATTCAGACAAAGACCGCATGTTATGATTTGTTAAGACTATTCTATTCTACTGACAAATACAGACACACATAGACACATACACAAATATCTTTGAGAATATCCTGAAGTTACGTCCCTCAGCTTTACTGCCCTGTGTGCTCGGGGCCCGGTCTGGAGGCTGCAGAATCCGTGTCACTGGGACGGCGGTGTTTCGTGACAGGCTCGGTGTGTGATGCCAGTTCAAACACAATATCGTGACAGGAGTAAAGTCCACACATACCTGCGCGGTTATGTAAGAGCCACACACACCCGCAACGCCAACAACCACATCCACAACACGCTTCCTCCCAGAGACTCAGACTGGAAGACTGTCAGCAAATAATCTCATTCACTCGTTCATATAGACTGAACATCTATATCTAGGCCTGCTTGGTTTCATTTATATATATGCAGTGTGAAAATAACTCGTGAAATAATCTTAAAGTAGCACCAGTCATGCAGAGATAAAAGCTTGGACTGTATACAGATGGATAATGCTAACACGCTAACGCACAATAGGGAACACAGGAACACAGAGCACAGGGACTGGCCTCCTACTGGGACTCTAAGGAGCACAGGGACTGGCCTCCTGCTAGTTCCCATAGTCAGGACTAAACATGGGGTGGAAGTGTTTTAGATTCATGCAGCTAAAATCTGGAACAGTCTTCCTGAAAATGTGAGACAGGCTTCTTCTCTGACAAATGTTCAAATCTTTTTGTTATACTGTGATTATTTAATGCCTTGTCTGATTATTTCTTGTTGTGTTCAGCGCTTGGATTTGCCTTGAGTATAACCCTTGCCTGGGGGCCCCTGCCTCTGCCCCCCCCCCTAACCCTAACCCCCTCAGCGCCGCCTCTGCTGATTGCATGAGAACAGCAGCTGTGTGTTGATCCCGTTAATGACACGTTTTGATTTATTGTTGCGGCTTCTGGAAGTGAAGGACAGACTGATAAACAGGAATAGTTGAAATTATCCATAAAACATGTCCTTAAAGAAGGAAGAAGGTCCTCATCTAGTGCTGATATAAATATATTTCAAATGTGACTGTTTAAAATCACACTATTGATTAAAAAATGCAGTATTTCGCTCTATTACAAATGATATTGAGACTATTTGTTATTTCAATGTTTATACTGTAGAAATATAGGATATGGTAATAAAATGCTTTCTGTGTGTAACTCTCTTTGCTGCCACTAGAGGGAGTTTTGATTAAGAAATGACCATTGAAGAAAACACACATTTCACTAAAATAAACTAATTTAGGGGCAATACTTTTGTAATAGACAATGACATACTGTTTTGAACAGTTCATGATATTAGCATGGATGGAGCTAAAAAACAACTCCAGGTCTGAGACTGATGTGAAACAATGTAGTTACATGGTTAATAAGGGTTAGAAAAAGATATCTTAGCATCTGAGTTATTCTCAATTTATTAGTTACAAAACAAGTCTCTCTCTGGTCTCTCTCTGGTCTCTCTATCTGGTCTCTCACTGGTGTCTCTCTATGGTGTCTCTCTGGTGTCTCTCTGGTCTCTCTCTGGTCCCTCTCTGGTGTCTCTCTGGTGTCTCTCTCTGGTGTCTCTCTCTGGTCTCTCTCTGGTCTCTCTCTGGTCTCTCTCTGGTCTCTCTCTGGTCTCTCTCTCTGGTCTCTCTCTGGTCTCTCTCTCTGGTCTCTCTCTGGTCTCTCTCTCTGGTCTCTCTCTCTGGTCTCTCTGGTCGCTCTCTCTGGTCTCTCTCTCTGGTCTCTCTCTGGTCTCTCTCTGGTCTCTCTCTGGTCTCTCTCTCTGGTCTCTCTCTGGTCTCTCTCTCTGGTCTCTCTCTGGTCTCTCTCTCTGGTCTCTCTCTCTGGTCTCTCTCTCTGGTCTCTCTCTCTGGTCTCTCTGGTCGCTCTCTCTGGTCTCTCTCTCTGGTCTCTCTCTCTGGTGTCTCTCTGTACACACAGTTCGTGCGGAGAGAGAGAAGCTGGAATTCCCGGGTGTCGTGCGGAGAGCAGAGCGTGTGAATGACTTCCACAAAACTCTCACGACATTTGACACAAACACACACACACACACAACTGTGGGAAAGATACAAGAAGAAAAACATACTCTGAAAAGTGTAGAAAAACGCTTTCTAAACTTGTGAATAGTTCATAAAAATGTATTTATTTTCTGAAATCTCCACAACAGTCGTCTCTGACTTCACAAAGTTGTGGATTCACCAACAACAGAACGTACTTAAACTTCATATTTTAATTATAGTTGACACTCATTAGCATAAATAGTCAGATTTTAAAAAGAGAGAGAGAGAGGGACCCAAGAGGTAGAGTGACAGAGAGAGAAACCACAGGGAGAGACCATGAGAGAATGAGACCAGAGAGAGACCAGAGAGAGACCATGAGAGAAAGAGACCACAGAGAGAGACCATGAGAGAAAGAGACCACAGAGAGACACCATGAGAGAAAGAGACCATAGAGAGAGACCATGAGAGAAAGAGACCACAGAGAGAGACCATGAGAGAAAGAGACCATAGCAAGACCACAAAGAAAGACCACAGAGAGAGACCATGAGAGAAAGAGACCACAGAGTGAGGGGACCATGAGAGAAAGAGACCACAGAGAGAGACCATGAGAGAGAGAGACCATGAGAGAAAGAGACCACAGAGAGAGACCATGAGAGAAAGAGACCACAGAGTGAGACCATGAGAGAAAGAGACCACAGAGAGAGACCATGAGAGAAAGAGACCAGAGAGAGGGACCATGAGAGAAAGAGACCACAGAGAGAGACCATGAGAGAGAGACCATGAGAGAAAGAGACCACAGAGAGAGACCATGAGAGAGAGAGAGCACATGGAGAGAGAGCAGAGTGTGTAGATCCAGGACTCGTGCGGTTCTGATCCAAACAGAGATAAGGTAAAAGTCTCTGGTGTTGGTGGAGATCAGTGTCTGAACGAGGCGAGCGTGTGAGAGACGAGGTGTGAGGAGGCCTTAGACTAAACAGGAGGTGAAATCAATCTTGTGTTGAGTGTTTTTTGACTTGCAGATTGTCCAAGGGAACTCCCAGTCCATTTACTCGCACTTAAAGCTGGGGTACCTGACTTTTGTTTCTACTATCACTAGATTCACTGGCATGTATCTTTGGCCTCTGTCAGATTTAGATCAGATTTTTCAGACAGAAAAGGGAAAGAAAATAGGAGCTCGTCACTCAGCTCTCATCTCCTTCCTGAAGCCTAAAGATCCAGTAAATTCCTGGGCCGCCTTACATAAACTGATTGTCTGAGATATTCCCAAAGTGGTTCAATGATCGGAGGAAAGTAGCATTTAGAATATTTAAAATGTGGCCAAAACTGTGTGTGTGTGTGTGTGTGTGTAGGTGTGTGTACGTGTGTGTACGTGTGTGTGTATGTGTGTGTACGTTTGTGTGTGTGTGTGTGTCTGTCTGTCTGTGTATATGTGTGTGTGTGCGTGTGTGTACGTTTGTGTGTGTGTCGGTGTGTGTGTGTCTGTGTGTGTGTATGTGTGTGTCTGTGTATACGTGTGTGTGTGTGTGTGTGTGTACGTTTGTGTGTGTGTCAGTGTGTGTACGTTTGTGTGTTTGTGTGTGTGTGTCTGTGTGTCTGTCTGTATATGTGTGTGTGTGTGTGCGTGCTCCAATTGTTGTACGTGACTCCAGACTGGACTCTACATAAATCCAGTGCAGGTCACACACCCACACACATGCGCACACACACATATGCGCACACACATGCACACACACACACATGCGCACACACACATATGCGCACACACATGCACACACACAAACACACATACAAGCACACAAACACACAAGTAGATGTGAGATGTGTTGGTGTTGAGGGGAATGTGGGGACTAGAGTCTAAAGTGTTTTAAATGTCCTTAGTTACACTTGAGGACAAACAAACAGAGAACAGGACTTAAAGCTCGGGTACCTAATTTATCTGTTAGTTTGACCCAAGAGTCAGACATGCTGTCTTCATTCTATGTGTTTTTACTGAAAACAGTGATAGAAACACAAACTGCTGCTTTGTGTTTGCCTTGGCAGCTTTGGGATTCTCCGAGACCACGGATCTGTCGGAGTTTTGAGGAATGAGGCAAAATTCCCAGGACGATAATGCGCAGAGAAAACAAGAGAGTAATGTTTCACTCCGAAGAGTCGTTAGGTTTGGCGTTTACGGGATTATTCAGACTCAAGGCTCTGGGTCCACTGTGGTCTACGGCAAATGCTTTCCCCATTGTTCCCTAAGAAGTGTGTGTTTGCTGTAAAAGTATGTTGATCAAACTAACAAATAAAAGAACCGATTCAATAAGACAAGAATATAACATTTTCTGTCAACATTAACATTCCTCAGTTTACGAGGAGCGCTGGTTAGGGTTAGGATTAGGATTAGGATGAGAACATGCATCCAATTCTCTTTCGTGTGTGTGTCTGTTATGTTGATATATGTAAAAATAAATGACAACAAGTTCATTACAAAGTTCCATCGCTGTGGTTCGAAAATCAGGGGTTCGAGCTTTAATGCAAACGCAGAGGTTAGAGATCAGCGTCACGTTACAACAGCGCCCCCGCCTGGACGCTCTGGCAACATACAATTGACGTAATCGCAGTTTATCTCCACAGTAACAGCACGCAATCTGCATAGAGCAACATACATGTGCCTATTTCTGACCTGAATGTTGCTGCTGTTGCGTTAAACCACAAAACTACGACCGCACAGAAGCCAAAGCCTCCACAAAAAGCCTTCAATAATAAACAGGACAAAGGAGAATTTGGATGTGGGTGTTTGTTTTGGGTCACGCTTTACACCGGTTGAGCCCGCCTCGCGCGTGTCTCCGCAGCGCAGTCCGTAGTCTCCGCCCGCTCGGCCCGCGCCCTGGAGCAAACCGAAGCCCATCTCTGCGCCATCTCAGTGCAGAAGGACGCGGCTGTTTGGCTCCGCTCACTTTGATCCATTTTACTGAACGACACATTTTGCTCTTAAAGGTCGCGGTGAGTATTTTGTCCGCAGACATTTTTACATTTTTCCTTCCTTTTTCTTTTCTTTTTGGATTTTTTTCAGCGATGCTTTTTCTATTTTGGACAGGAATGTGCGGGAGCTAGCTGTTAGCTCTCCCTCAGAACCTGGGTGTTTTTAGAAGCTGGAGTCATTTTTAGTTCTCTCCTTTTTCTCCCAAGTCGTATCTGGTTTGTTTTTGTAGGATTCGTGGTGAAGACTTTCTTTTGAGAGACTGCTAATGTTTTGGCTAGCCGCGTTAGCTCCTGCTGTGGCTAACGGCTAACAGCTAACAGCTTCGTGCTAGCTGCAGATCCACCATGATGCTGTGTTTGTCCACTGAGAAACTCGTATTTGCAGGTTTTGGTTTTTGCAAGCAGAGGAACTGGTCTGAGCGCGGTCATTTTTGTGCTTTTCATTGTGTGTCGGCTAACATGAGCTAATGCACACTGCAGCCTGAAGGGGGCGCTGTTGTTGGTTTAGGTAATAATCATTCTTTTGTCATTTTCTGGATCCTGCTCCTGACAGGGCTTTTTGTGGAGTGGTTTTTGTGTTTTTGAACTGTAAAGAAGTGCATTTTTAGATTTTGACATTTTGGATCAGTTCTAATACGTTTGCAAAGAGTACATTCACACGTAAAACACAAGTCCCCCATTAGTCCCCCATGAAACCCCCTCCAGGCATGAGCCCTGTCCAGCTGTGTGCTGCTACTGTGACACAACAGAAGTACTAATCACACACACACACACTGCACCACAGCATCACACACTGCACCACAGCATCACACACAACCTCAGCTTGACAGAAAGATGCTTCTATAATGCATCAAAGCTAAAGCCTCCCCTGATCTCCCTCTGCAGCTCTGTTTCCACTGCTCCTCTGCTCCACCTGGTTGTGTTTCCATTCAACTTCAGTATCTGGTACCATGTCCTAGAACCCTACTCACAAACCAGTACCACTCGGGCTACTGTCAGTTTAGTCCAGGGGTCTCCAACCTGTAGCTCTCCAGCCCCGGTCAGGTAGCTCCCCAAAGGATTGGAAATTTAACAAATGATCTTAAATGAATACATTTGGAGCCATTACATATATTATAAGTATAAATATAGGGTTTTACAGTATTATGGTACATTATGGTATGTTCTCTAAAGTTTTGTTGTAATTATTACATACATTTATTATGACTGCAAAAAGGAGTAGCTCTCTGCCTCTTCTGTTGCATAAAAGTAGCTCTCAGATTGATAAAGACCCCTGGTTTAGTACACTTTAGTCCAGGGGTCTCCAACCTGTGGCTCGCTACCATTAAGCATCACACATGATCCTGAATGATCCACTTTTGAGTCATCACATATTTATTTAACTATAAATCTTGTCATTAAAGCAGAGATACTGTTCTGTATGATGGTATCTTCTGCCTCTGTGTGTTCTCTATCATTGGCTGTCATTATATAAACTACAATTGTATAAATACAGTTAAAAGAAGCAGCTCTCTGCCATTTCATTCATAAAAAGTATCTCTTAAAAAGGTTGGAGACTTCTGCTGTAGCACCAGCTCGGCCTGGATAGAACCAGGGCCAATAGGGACTAAAGAGGGACCTGGTACTGGTTAAATAAGACCAGTGGAAAGAGAGTAGGACAAAGTAGATCTAGTGGAAACCGGGCTTTACGATGACGGAGAAATGTGTGTATTTATATTGAGTGCGTCTGAATCACAGTCAAAACACTCATAGATTCTCCCTATCGTATGTTTGTGTTTATATATGGTGTATTGTTCCCCACACAAACCTTCCTCTGCAGATAATGTGAAGGATATTATTACTAATCTAATCGTTCTTGACTCGGATAAAAGTATAAAGGCAGAAAATGACAGAAGTGAGGTCAGATAAATGAGATGGATCTGCAAAAACACCAGAGACCAGTTTAGTCCGTTCAGAGATAACGTTGATAATCTTGTCTCTGTGGTTATTGGCCTTGCTCACTGACGCCCTCTAGAGGTGGAGGGAAAAACGGTTCTGTTCAGTATCACGATATTTTGGGCTCGCATCGAAATATAAATGTATTTGTGGTATTTGATTAAATTATTGGTTTCACTTTTTCTATGAGTTTTCATCTGAGGTTTATGTGACTCTATGGTGTCTGTCTGTTGTGACTATGGTGTCTGCTTGTTGTGACTCTGATGTTTGTTGTGACTACGATGTCTGCTTGTTGTGACTCTATGACGTCTGTTGTGACTCTATGATGTCTGTTTGTTGTGACTCTATGATGTCTGTTGTGACTATGATGTCTGCTTGACTCTATGACGTCTGTTGTGACTCTATGATGTCTGTTTGTTGTGACTCTATGATGTCTGTTGTGACTATGGTGTCTGCTTGTTGTGACTCTATGGTGTCTGCTTGTTGTGACTCTATGGTGTCTGCTTGTTGTGACTCTATGATGTCTGCTTGTTGTGACTCTATGATGCTTGTTGTGACTATAATGTCTGTTGTGACTCTATGACGTCTGCTTGTTGTGACTCTATGGTGTCTGCTTGTTGTGACTCTATGATGTCTGCTTGTTGTGATTCTATGATGTCTGCTTGACTCTATGACGTCTTGTGACTCTATGATGTCTGTTTGTTGTGACTCTATGATGTCTGCTTGTTGTGACTCTATGATGTCTGCTTGACTCTATGACGTCTGTTGTGGCTCTATGATGTCTGTTTGTTGTGACTCTATGATGTCTGTTGTGACTCTATGATGTCTGTTGTAACTCTATGATGTCTGCTTGTTGTGACTCTATGATGTCTGCTTGTTGTGACTATCATGTCTGCTTGTTGTGACTCTATGATGTCTGCTGTGACTCTATGATGTCTGCCTGTTGTGATTCTATGATGTCTGCTTGACTCTATGACGTCTGTTGTGACTATGATGTCTGCTTGTTGTGACTCTATGATGTCTGCTTGACTCTATGACGTCTGTTGTGGCTCTATGATGTCTGTTTGTTGTGACTCTATGATGTCTGTTGTGACTCTATGGTGTCTGCTTGTTGTGACTCTATGACGTCTGCTTGTTGTGACTCTATGACGTCTGCTTGTTGTGACTCTATGACGTCTGCTTGTTGTGACTCTATGATGTCTGCTTGTTGTGACTCTATGACGTCTGCTTGTTGTGACTCTATGACGTCTGCTTGTTGTGACTCTATGATGTCTGTTGTGACTCTATGGTGTCTGTTTGTTGTGACTCTATGATGTCTGCTTGTTGTGACTCTATGATGTCTGCTTGTTGTGACTCTATGATGTCTGCTTGTTGTGACTATGATGTCTGTTGTGACTCTATGGTGTCTGCTTGTTGTGACTCTATGATGTCTGCTTGTTGTGACTCTATGATGTCTGCTTGTTGTGACTCTATTACGTCTGCTTGTTGTGACTCTATGACGTCTGCTTGTTGTGACTCTATGATGTCTGCTTGTTGTGACTCTATGACGTCTGCTTGTTGTGACTCTATGACGTCTGCTTGTTGTGACTCTATGACGTCTGCTTGTTGTGACTCTATGATGTCTGCTTGTTGTGACTCTATGACGTCTGCTTGTTGTGGCTCTATGATGTCTGCTTGTTGTGACTCTATGATGTCTGTTGTGACTCTATGGTGTCTGCTTGTTGTGACTCTATGACGTCTGCTTGTTGTGACTCTATGACGTCTGCTTGTGACTCTATGACGTCTGCTTGTTGTGACTCTATGATGTCTGCTTGTTGTGACTCTATGGTGTCTGTTGTGACTCTATGGTGTCTGCTTGTTGTGACTCTATGACGTCTGCTTGTTGTGACTCTATGATATCTGCTTGTTGTGACTCTATGATGTCTGCTTGTTGTGACTCTATGACGTCTGCTTGTTGTGACTCTGACGTCTGCTTGTTGTGACTCTATGACGTCTGCTTGTTGTGACTCTATGACGTCTGCTTGTTGTGACTCTGGTGTCTGTTTGCTAATATGAGGAACATGAATCAATTACTGTCAGTATCGTGATATTTTAAGAATCGTGATATTATATAATTGTGGCCTAAATATCGTGATACTGTCGAATCGTCACATTTTTGCAGGTCCCTCACTTTCACAGTCACTATCCTGGCTCTGCAGTATCTGCGCTCTACCCCTGTTGTGGTCTCGTCCTGGTCTCTTCAGTATCCTAGTATCTACAGTATCCTAGTATCTGCACTATCCTAGTATCTACAGTATTATAGTATCTACAGTACGCTAGTATCTACAGTATTATAGTATCTACAGTATTATAGTATCTACAGTATTATAGTATCTACACTATCCTAGTATCTGCAGTATCCTAGTATCTGCAGTATCCTAGTATCTGCAGTATCCTAGTATCTACACTATCCTAGAATCTACACTATCCTAGTATCTACAGTATTATAGTATCTACAGTACGCTAGTATCTACAGTATTATAGTATCTACAGTATTATAGTATCTACAGTATTATAGTATCTACACTATCCTAGTATGTACACTATCCTAGTATCTGCAGTATCCTAGTATCTACAGTACGCTAGTATATACAGTATTATAGTATCTACAGTATGCTAGTATCTACAGTATCCTAGTATCTACAGTGTCCTAGTATCTACAGTACGCTAGTATCTACAGTATTATAGTATCTACAGTATGCTAGTCTCAACAGTAGAATAGTCTCCGCAGTATAATAGTCTCTGCAGTAGGATAGTCTCCGCAGTAGAATAGTCTCCGCAGTAGAATAGTCTCCGCAGTAGAATAGTCTCCGCAGTAGAATAGTCTCCGCAGTAGAATAGTCTCCGCAGTAGAATAGTCTCTGCAGTATAATAGTCTCTGCAGTATAATAGTCTCTGCAGTAGAATAGTCTCTGCAGTATAATAGTCTCCGCAGTAGAATAGTCTCTGCAGTATAATAGTCTCTGCAGTAGAATAGTCTCTGCAGTATAATAGTCTCTGCAGTAGAATAGTCTCTGCAGTATAATAGTCTCTGCAGTAGAATAGTCTCTGCAGTAGAATAGTCTCTGCAGTAGAATAGTCTCTGCAGTAGAATAGTCTCTGCAGTATAATAGTCTCTGCAGTATAATAGTCTCCGCAGTATAATAGTCTCCGCAGTATAATAGTCTCCGCAGTAGAATAGTCTCCGCAGTAGAATAGTCTCCGCAGTAGAATAGTCTCCGCAGTCTCCGCAGTAGAATAGTCTCCGCAGTAGAATAGTCTCCGCAGTAGAATAGTCTCCGCAGTAGAATAGTCTCCGCAGTAGAATAGTCTCCGCAGTAGAATAGTCTCCGCAGTAGAATAGTCTCCGCAGTAGAATAGTCTCCACAGTAGAATAGTCTCCACAGTAGAATAGTCTCCGCAGTAGAATAGTCTCCGCAGTAGAATAGTCTCCACAGTAGAATAGTCTCCGCAGTAGAATAGTCTCTGCAGTAGAATAGTCTCCGCAGTAGAATAGTCTCCACAGTAGAATAGTCTCCGCAGTAGAATAGTCTCCGCAGTAGAATAGTCTCCACAGTAGAATGGTCTCTGCAGTAGCAGCTGTTGTATCTGTGCAGAGCTTTGACTGGGCTGTGTTTTCTGTCGCCTCAGTCGAAGCCTTTGAAGTCCCACGTCACACCCTCCGCACAGACGCAGGCCGACGACTCCCTGCAAACCCATGGCGTGAGTGCGGTGCCCCCCCGACCACCGGGGGGCGTCCTTTTACATGTTTCTGCAGGCGCGGGGTTGATGGGGCGGTGATGTTAATGTGTAAAGTGTTTTTAGAACCACAGACAGACTCAGGGTCAGCAGCTAAATGTTTAAATGACTGGTGTGGAAGGACAGAAGCACATTTATTCATGTAGCACGTGATCAATGTTGATGAGATTAACCTTCTCTTCCTCAGGACTGTCTCCCTTTGACCCGGATGGAAAAGCTTCATTCTGTTTCTGTCTTTATCGCTTTGGAAAAAATGTGACAATATTTGGATTTTAATTCCCACTGGTTGGTCCCATTACAAATTTAGAAAGACCAGTCTGAAAAATACCCTAAAGTTAAATAATTTATGTTTTTTACCTTTTAATAAGTGCTTAAACAAGTGAGTATTACTTGAAGTAACTTTAATATTATTGACAGCTTCAACTTGCCTTAGCAACCATCATAGCAACCACCTTAGCAACCACCTTAGCAATCACCTTAGTAACTGCCTTAGCAACCACTTTAGCAACCACCTCAGCGTAAACCTTAGCAACCACCTTAGTATCCACCATAGCAACCACCTTAGACACGACCATAGCAACCATCTTAGCAAACATTTTAGCCACCCCCTAACAACCACCATAGCAACCACCTTCGGAACCATTTTAGCCACTACCTTAGCAACCATCTTAGCAACCACCGTAGCAACCACCATAGAAACCACCTTGTCAACCATCTTAGCAACCACCTTAGTATCCAACTTAGCAACCACCTTAGAACCCACCATAGCAACCACCTTCGGAACCATTTTAGCCACCACCTTAGCTACCACCAAAGAAACCACCTTAGCCTCCACCTTATAAACCCCCTTAGCAACCATTTTAGCCACCACCCTAGCAACCACCATGGCAACCACCATAGTAACCATCTTAGCAACCTCCTTAGCAACCTCCTTAGCAATCACCATAGCAACCACCATAGCCACCACCTTAGCAACACGTCTTTCCCTGTTGGCGCAAAGCTAACACTGAGGAACAAATGCCCATATAAGGAAACTGGCTTAAACTTATGTTCAAATCGGCCTCTTCTGCTTTAAAACAAACTCTAAACCAGAGAGAGATGTTGTGATGTCACATGAATGTTGGATTTTCCTTCAGGAAACACTTCGCAGCTGATCCACGTGTAGGCTGTGTTCATGCTTCATTTATGTTCAGGTGGAGGGCAGGAGCCGGGACCAGGGGGAGACCAGAGGGAGAGACCAGAGGGAGAGACCAGAGGGAGAGACCAGAGGGAGAGACCAGAGGGAGAGACCAGAGGGAGAGACCAGAGGGAGAGACCAGAGGGAGAGACCAGAGGGAGAGACCAGAGGGAGAGACCAGAGGGAGAGACCAGAGGGAGAGACCAGAGGGAGAGACCAGAGGGAGAGACCAGAGGGAGAGACCAGAGGGAGAGACCAGAGGGAGAGACCAGAGGGAGAGACCAGAGGGAGAGACCAGAGGGAGAGACCAGAGGGAGAGACCAGAGGGGGAGACCAGAGGGGGAGACCAGAGGGGGAGACCAGAGGGGGAGACCAGAGGGGGAGACCAGAGGGGGAGACCAGAGGGGGAGACCAGAGGGGGAGACCAGAGGGGGAGACCAGAGGGGGAGACCAGACAATTGATATGCTCTTTGATAACGTTGTGATGTCACATGACCACAGCCTACAGGCCCCAGTCTCTGCCATAATGCGTCGTCATGGCCTTCTACAGATGGATCTAACTTTTCTGTTGCTCTTCCAGATCCCGCGGCGTCTTTGACTTTGACCCAAACCTGTTTTTACTCTGTCTTTGTTTTTGTCTTCTTCTTCTTCTTCCCCTTGACCCTGTCCCTTCAGTCTCTCGCCCACCTCCGCCAGCCTCATGGCCAGCAGCAACGTCACCAACAAGACGGACCAGCGCTCGCTCAACTCGCGGGTGTTCATCGGGAACCTGAACACGCTGCTGGTGACCAAGGCCGACGTGGAGGCCATCTTCTCCAAGTACGGCAAGATCGTGGGCTGCTCCGTTCACAAGGGCTACGCCTTCGTGCAGTTCGTCAACGAGAGGACGGCCAGGACTGCGGTGGCGGGGGAGGACGGCCGCATGATCGTCGGACAAGTGCTAGGTAAGAGAGAGTATCCATCATACGCTTTAGTTTCTGGTACCGTATCCTAGCAACCTTCCCACAACAAACCAGTGTCCAGGGAAATTCCTTGGTAACCATGGCTTCCCGCAGTTCTCTGACCAATCCCTGTCAGTTAGAACACTTTAGTACCAGCTCAGCCTGGATAGAACCAGGACCATGAAGGACCTTGTACTGGTTACACAGGACCATGAAGGACTAAAGAAGGACCTGGTACTGGTTACACAGGACCATGAAGGACTAAAGAAGGACCTGGTACTGGTTACACAGGACCAGTTGAAACACCATCAGGAGAGTAGAGTCTAGTCTAACATTTCCTCCTGTTTCTTATTTGCAGATATAAATTTGGCCGGAGAACCCAAACCACAGCGATCAAAACCCTCCAAGCGCTCAGCGGGCGACATGTACAGGTGAGAGAGGGCCACATGTACAGGTGAGAGAGGGCGACATGTACAGGTGAGAGAGGGCCACATGTACAGGTGAGAGAGGGCGACATGTACAGGTGAGAGAGGGCCACATGTACAGGTGAGAGAGGGCGACATGTACAGGTGAGAGAGGGCCACATGTACAGGTGAGAGAGGGCCACGTGTACAGGTGAGAGAGGGCCACATGTACAGGTGAGAGAGGGCCACATGTACAGGTGAGAGAGGGCCACATGTACAGGTGAGAGAGGGCCACATGTACAGGTGAGAGAGGGCCACATGTACAGGTGAGAGAGGGCCACATGTACAGGTGAGAGAGGGCCACATGTACAGGTGAGAGAGGGCCACGTGTACAGGTGAGAGAGGGCCACATGTACAGGTGAGAGAGGGCGACATGTACAGGTGAGAGAGGGCCACATGTACAGGTGAGAGAGGGCCACATGTACAGGTGAGAGAGGGCCACATGTACAGGTGAGAGAGGGCCACATGTACAGGTGAGAGAGGGCCACATGTACAGGTGAGAGAGGGCCACATGTACAGGTGAGAGAGGGCGAGTGAGAGAGGGCCACATGTACAGGTGAGAGAGGGCCACATGTACAGGTGAGAGAGGGCGAGTGAGAGAGGGCCACATGTACAGGTGAGAGAGGGCCACATGTACAGGTGAGAGAGGGCGAGTGAGAGAGGGCCACATGTACAGAGAGAGCTCGGTTTGGGTGCTTTCACACTGGTACTTGCAGGTGTTCCAGACTCCAGTCTGTTTGAAGTGGACTAAAGCTCCAGTGTTTTCACGGATCAACTCACTGTTCATTCTTCTCTTACAGCAGCAGTTCATCCTTCGACCTCGACTACGACTTCCAAAGAGACTATTATGACAGGTGAGACCCAGGACCGAGACCCAGGACCGAGACCCAGGGCCGAGACCAGGACCGAGACCCAGGGCCGAGACCCATGACCGAGACCCATGACCGAGACCCATGACCGAGACCCAGGACCGAGACCCAGGACCGAGACCCAGGACCGAGACCCAGGACCGAGACCCAGGACCGAGACCCAGGACCGAGACCCAGGACCGAGACCCAGGACCGAGACCCAGGACCGAGACCCAGGACCGAGACCCAGGACCGAGACCCAGGACCGAGACCCAGGACCGAGACCCCAGCAGAGATGAAACAGAGACTGAGGAACGACCAAAGCAGGACCATATTTAGTTCACAGAGCTCTTGGATAATTTCAGTCTTAGCGGGTTGCTAATCGTTGCTAATTGTTGCTAATTGTTGCTAACCGTTGCTATCTGTGTTTCTTTCTCCAGGATGTACTCGTACCCGTCCCGTGTCCCGGCCGCCCCCGCTGCTCTGTCCCGGGCCGTGGTCCCGTCCAAACGTCCTCGCGTCAGCATGAGCGGAGGCAGTGGACGCAGGACCAAGACCAGCTTCTCCTCCAAGAGCAGCCAGAGGCCCTCGTCCAGAACCAGTACTGTCCAATCACATTCTCACTATGTTCACACCAGTTTCTCTGGTCTCTCTCTGGTCTCTCTCTGGTCTCTCTCTGGTCTCTCTCTGGTCTCTCTCTCTGGTCTCTCTCTTTGGTCTCTCTCTGGTCTCTCTCTGGTCTCTCTCTCTTTGGTCTCTCTCTGGTCTCTCTCTGGTCTCTTTCTGGTCTCTCTCTCTGGTCTCTCTTTGATCTCTCTCTGGTTTCTCTCTGGTCTCTCTCTCTGGTCACTCTCTTTGGTCTCTCTCTGGTCACTCTCTGGTCACTCTCTAGTTTCTTTGGTCTCTCTTTGGTCTCTCTCTGGTCACTCTCTGGTCACTCTCTGGTTTCTCTGGTCTCTTTCTGGTCTCCCAGAGTGAGTGAGAGACCAGAGTGGGACCAGAGAGTGTAAATAGTGTGTTCTCCAAACCATTAAAATCCTGGTCCTCTTTGTCTCTCCTGGTTTCCCAGTGAAAGTGGACGAGCTGCAGACCATCAAGCGAGAGCTGACTCAGATCAAGAGCAAAGTGGACGACCTCCTGGACTCTCTGGAGAGGATGGAGAAGGACCACAGCAAGAAGTCAGGTCAGTGCACCACAGAGCACCACAGAGGACCACAGAGCACCACAGAGGACCACAGAGGACCACAGAGCACCACAGAGCACCACAGAGGACCACAGAGCACCACAGAGCACCACAGAGCACCACAGAGGACCACAGAGGACCACAGAGCACCACAGAGGACCACAGAGCACCACAGAGCACCACAGAGGACCACAGAGCACCACAGAGCACCACAGAGCACCACAGAGCACCACAGAGGACCACAGAGGACCACAGAGCACCACAGAGGACCACAGAGGACCACAGAGGACCACAGAGCACCACAGAGCACCACAGAGCACCACAGAGACCACAGAGCCACAGAGGACCACAGAGGACACCACAGAGGACCACAGAGCACCACAGAGGACCACAGAGCACCACAGAGCACCACAGAGCACCACAGAGGACCACAGAGACACACAGAGGCCACAGAGGACCACAGAGCACCACAGAGGACCACAGAGCACCACAGAGCACCACAGAGCACCACAGAGCACCACAGAGCACCACAGAGGACCACAGAGGACCACAGAGCACCACAGAGCACCACAGAGCACCACAGAGCACCACAG